GCAAGGTCCACTCAGAGGCAGGAAGGTCTGTTTTCCCCAAGTGGAGCCCCCAGCACATTTCTTACTGGGAGGGGGAGACACGAGGACCCACTGGTCTTTACTAGAGACTGTCCCAGGACCCAGAGCAGACCTAGACCTGGGATTTATCCAAACCACACAGAACAACAGACTTAGACCGCTGGCCAATCTTAAGAGTAAGTGAGATATGTAAAGAGAAAAAGACCCTTTTTATTTATTTATTTTTTATTATTATTTTTTAAAATTAATTTTTGTTACAGATGTTTCTCCCCCCACTGATTCCCCCCTTCCCCTCCCTCCCTGCCCTGTCCCCAGCTTTGTTGGAAAAAGACCCCTTTTTAAAAAAATTTTTTTTCTTTATTGATTTTGGAGAGAGAGGAAGGGAGAGGGAGAGAGAGAGAAACATCGCTGAGAGAGAACATCGATTGGCCAACTCCTGCATGCCCCCCACTGGGGATTTGGCCCACGGCCTGGGCATGTGCCCTGACTGGGAATCGAACGGCGACCTCTTGGTGTGTGGGCTGATGTTCAACCACTGAGCCGCACCAGCCGGGCGAGAAAAAGACCTTTTATAAATGTATTTCATAATTTCCCATTACTTCACCGCTGGTCCCTCAAACCGTCCACTAGACAAAGTGTGAACCAGGTGAGGGTAGCTCACTCACTGCCGATCCTTTTCTTTCAGGTGGACGACGTCATAATGGAGAGGGATGTGGACTCCTTTGGGAGAGGGGAGGGAAGGGGCACAGTGCTGAGGCCAGAGGGGACTGTGACTACTCTGGAGACTAGTCATTCACCCCTGAGCCAGGGAGTGCATTCAGAGGCATCCAGTGAGCTCCTGGCAGCCCCCACAGAAGGTGCCGATTCTCTTGACTGACCCCTCACTCATGAGGCATCATGAGAGCCATTTCCCTCCAAGGAGCACTCTACAACCAGGGAAGGTGGTGGTTCCGGCCCCAGCAGGGCAGATGTGTGAGCTACACACCAAGTCATCCAGAAGAAGCCAAGGGCCGCAGAGGACACACCCCTTCAGTGGACAGCCCGGAACCTACTAGTCTCAGCTTCTCGGGTGACCCCTGACCTCCTCCTATCAGGTGTGAAACGGGCTGGACAGGCACCTCTCTGGCTGGGCTCACAGACGGAGTCAAGCCAGTTGACATGGAAACTAAGGTTCTGTGCTCATGGTGACAACGGAGAGGATTTCTTAGGCTTGGGAGCCAGATCATCAGGATTCAAATTCTGGCCCAGATGCCTACGAGTGGTGTGATTGCAGACACGTCCAACCTCCCAGGGAAAAATAAAGATAATAGTACTAGCTACACAGGGTTGTGACGATTAAAGGAGCCCATACACGGGAGGCGGCGAGGACGGTGGCAGGCGAGAGCGTTTGCCATGGTGGGGACAGCCCGCAGGCAGGAGCCTCGGGGCTCTGAGGCTGCGATGGGGTAGGTAGAAACAAGAAATCACTCAAAAGCAGCAGGCAATTTTCTCTCGAGGGAGAACTCATCTTGGTTTAGGAACATCGCTGACCTGGGCTTCTGATCATGCAAATGTAACCAGCAAGGCCCGCTCTCCTGCTTTGGGTATAATGGGTGTGGGCCTGACCTTGCGTGGTGAGCTGGCCCCAGCCACGTGGAAGCAGGTCGCAGATACTGGGGTTTGCAGCTTGTGGGAAGTATTTTTCACACTGTTTTGACCATGATTTATGGGAAGGAACAGATTCCACGTTATACAGTCAGTGTGCACACTTACATGGCAAACAAGTTTCACAAAACCAGAACCACCCTTACTTACAAACACACTGAGGTTTTCTCTCTTTCTGGATATGCTGGTTGTAACCCAGTAAATTGACATCACGACCCGCCAATGGGTCTGGGCCTAGTAGTCTAAGAAGCTGTGCTGTGAGGGAGCCCGCAGGAGGGGTCTGGCCCAGCCCGAGAACAGCCCTTTCCCCTCTGGCCATCCCTCATGTGGTCTCTAAAGCGGCAGAGAGTTCTGTCAGAAATTGGAGGCTGGTCTTGGCTGGGCCGTAGAGTGGTCCAGGAGGGGCTCCCACACTGCAGGGAAATAGGAGCAGGGCCCCTTCTCAAAGCCAGAGGGGCAGGGACCTGGCGTTTCGGCCTCTCCTGCAGCACACAGGTGCTTGGTGAAGGTTTACGGAAACAAGAACAGGGGAGAGTGCCCTGGACTGGGCGAGTCATAGGCTCTTCCCTGTGACCTGGGGCCTCAGTTACTCCACCTGCAAAATGAACATCTGGTCTCTAGGGGATCCCGCAGCAGAATAAAGAGACCACACAGCCTACAACTCCCTAGGGGGATGGAGAGAGCCAATGTGGCACTATCCTGTGTGCTGCTTGTGCAAGGGTGGGGGTGATGCCTTCCAGCCTGGAGCTCTTCTCCAGGCCAGACCCCAGGATCCTGAAGGGCCCGTTACGCTGGGCTCAGATTGAGGGGCCGTTCTTCATCCATGTGCCGTTGCTCCATTGAGGCTGCAACTCCCCTGAGTTGGTGAACCGTGGAGGGGAGGGCTGAGGAAGAGGCTGGCTGGACAGTGAGGAAGGGAGGTCAGGTGACAGTTCTCAAGCCTTTCCTCCAGGATGACATCAGCTTCTAAAATCCCTAGTCATGACTGGGATAGAGCGGCAGCTTCAAATCCTAGCCTTGTTTAAAAAATCAGGCCTGCGTTTGTTCACTCACTGAAAAAGTATGTACCAAACTATCACGTGGCAGGCATAGCCGTGGATGTGGGATGCGGAGGTGTCCAGGGGTAAGATCGCCACCCTCCTGGAGCTTATGGCCTTAGCGGGGCACAGTCAGTAAGTAGCGGAATCCTACCTGAGAGTGACACGTGCTCTAGAGGAATATGAAGGGGTAATGGGATAGAAGGCGACTAGGTGACTGGGGTGGGGGTTAGTTTTGGTGGGTGGTAATAAGAACAGGCGCTTATATATATATTTTATCCTCACCCGAGGACACTTTTCCATTTTTTGTTCAGAAAGAGTGGGAGGGAGAGAGAAAAACATTGACATGAAAGGGACACATCAAATGGCTGCGACCTGCATGACCAACCAGGGCTGGGGACAAACGGCAACCGAGGTACGTGCCCTTAGCGGGAACCAAACCCAGGTCTCTCTGGTCCGCAGGCCGATGCTCTAACCACTGAACCAAACCAGCCAGGGCAAAAAAAAAAATTTTTTTTTTAACTGATTCTAGAGAGACAGGATAGGAGGGAGAGAGAGAGAGAAACATTGATGAGAACATCGATTGGCCGCCTCCTGCATGCCCCCACTGGGGATTTGGCTCACAACTTCGGCATGTGCCCTGACCAGGAATCGAACCGGCAACCTCCTGGTGCATGGGTCGACGCTCAACCACTCAACAACACTGGCCAGGCCGGAACAGGCTTTTTTAAGGAAATGTTATTTGAGTTGAAATTGGTGCAAAGATCTGTGCTTCCAAAATAAGTTTGAGAGCAAAATACAGATTTCCAGGCCCCACCATAGATGTAGCAAATTAAAACACGAGGGACAGGGACCAGGAATCTTCATTTTTTTCTTCCAACTAATTCCCATGTACATTAAAACTGGAGAATTTTTCCCAGGGCTTGTACTTTAAGAGAGGATCATGCCTGATGAACTTCAGGGTCTCTTCCAATTTCCAGAGCCTGTAGTTCACGGAAAGGAAGTTCTCATGGGGGTGGGGGCGCTCTGGAGAGGAGCAGGGTTCTGACTGAATGGCAAGATGCAGAAAATGGCCCTGGCCGGTTTGGCTCAGCGGTTAGAGCGTCCGTCCGGAGGGACCTGGGTTCGGTTCCCGCTAAGGGCGAGTACCTCGGTTGTCCCCAGCCCTGGTTGGTCATGCGGGGGGCAACCACTCGATGTGTCCCTTTCACATCGATGTTTCTCTCTCTCTCTCTCTCTCTCTCCCTCCCACTCTACCTGAACAAAAAATGGAGAAACGTCCTTGGGTGAGGATGATAAAAAAAAAAAAAAAATGCAGAAAATGAGCAGGCACAGCTCCTCACACAGAAGGGAGAGCTCCTGCAGGGCCCTCCTCCCTATGACCATCTCTGAGATGGCCTTCCTCATCCCTGCCCCCACTCCCTCTTTTAATTTGAAGGGGCAGGGCCATGAGGGTTGCAGTCTCGGCGGCCTAGACGAGGTCCATCTCTTGCTTTGGAAACATTTCAAACGGTTGGTACAGGCCCTCTCGGCAGGGCCTAGGTTGCCTGTGCCTCCCCACCCCCACCCCATTTGCCCCAGGTGTGGTGCAGAGTTCTTCAAAATGCTGTGGGCACTCGGACTCCCACAGCAACTGCTGAGCAACGGACTCCCTGGGAGTGGGGGTTTCGAGCCTGCTACAGCCGCTGCAGCCCGAGCTCCCGCTAGATTCCGAGCAGCCATGGGTCTGTCAAATCTGTATTCTCTCCCAGCCTGTGTGATGGGCCCGGTTCTCCCAGGGAGCAAGAAAAACCAAGCACCTGTTGTGTTTACCTATAAATGCTCTTTATCCCCTGTTCTCATCCACTCTCTGCGCTGCCTGGTCCTCCTCTCTTGGCCTGTTTTCTCATCTGTTCCCTAGAAGGGTTAGGGTTTCTTTGGGGAGTAGAGAAAGGGGGAGGGGAGGTTTGCTTTAAAAGCTCTTCTCGTCTGCGGGTCCGCTCACTCCTCGCTGCCGCCCACGAACTTCTCCCGCCGGCGCACGTGCGGCCCGGCCTCCGGCAGCGCCTTCCCAAGCCCGCGGCGGGCGGCCCAGCCCGCTGGTGTCGCTGTGTCCGCTCGGGGAGGAGGACGAGGTGGCGGCAAGGTCGCGGTCAGCCGCTTGCTCGCGCCGCCCCGCCCAGCCGCCCGCAGCACTTGGTCTGCCCGCGGCTCCCGGCGGCCCTGCGCGCCCGCGGCTCCCGGCGGCCGGAGGAGTCGCGCAGCGCGGAGCGCGTGCCCGGGGGCGCGGAGGCGGCCGGCGACGGGGCTCCCATGAGGCACACGCGTCGCGTCGCCGTCCCCAGGCCCAGGTGAGACAGCGCCATGGGGCAGGATTGCTGCAAGGGGGTCTTCCAGTCGCTGTTCGACTACAAGACCGAGAAGTATGTCATCGCCAAGAACAAGAAGGTGGGCCTGCTCTACCGGCTGCTGCAGCTCTCCATCCTGACCTACCTGGTGGTGTGAGTGCCCGGGGCTCGGGGACCGGGGGCCGGGCGGGGCCCGCACCTGGCTCTCGGAATCGGCCTGTGTGCACAAGGTGTTCCCTGAAGTTGGGGGTAAGGGTCGGGCAGGAGGGAGCCCGCTACTCCCGGGACGCCGGCTTGCTCTGGAGGTGACGAGATGCAGCAGGGGCTTCTTGGTGCCTTGATCTAAGAGGCTCTCCCTGGGCAGCTCCCTCCTCCAGGCCTGGACCCCCAGGGCTGGGGCTGTGGGAAGGGGACATGGATGCAGGGGGCTGGGCTGCAGCTGTCGCCCCGGGAGCCTCCCACACCCGGTGGGTTATTTATAATCACTGAGCTCAGTCAGTGCCAAGCCTCGGCTGGGGCAACTCATGAGCCTGGCATGTCCTGGTCAACTCACCCCACCCGTGGCTTGCTTCTTTGGTATCCAGCTGGGGGTCCCGTCCAGTGGGCCTCTGCCCCGCCCACGTCCCCCTCCCACCTGGCAGACGCTGGTGACATCAGAGGGGCAGCTCCTTGGGGATGCTCAGCCAGGAAAGACCCAGAGCCCCTCAGTGGAGGGAGGAAATGACAGTAGAGGACTGGGACAGGGGTGCATCTCTTTTACCCTTTCCGTAAATGCTGGTGAGTCCCTCCCATTTCCTGATTTGGGGAGGAGCAGATGCTCCCTCTGGGAAGGCCATCCTGACATCACCTGGAGACCTGGCATCCCCCAGCTTCCTCCTTCAGACGCCTGGTTGTCTCCCACCTGAGGGCCTTAGGACATGCTGTTCCTCTCAGCCAGGGGTGCTTTCCTCCCTACTCCGCCAGTGTCCACTCATCTTTCAGACCTGAAATCTCCCATAACTCCCTCTCTCTTTTCTCCCATACCTCAGATAATTTCCCACGATGTAATTATATGCTTGTTTGGAGGCTCATTTGCTTAATGTCTGTGTTTGACTCCCCACCAGGCTGGGGACACCAAGAGGAAGGGCCCTGGCGTCTCCTAACTGCTCAGGCAATAGGTGTGAAAGGAATGTTTTCCTTGAGTATTTGCTGAGTGTTTCTGTCCAGGCTGGGCCCAGTGTGTCCCTACCCAAATGGTTCGCTCCAGGGTCCCAGACCTCTCAGAGTTCCTTAGAGACAGGACTGTCTAGGGCCCAGGGAATGCCGTCTGCTCCCAGAGATGAAGAGGGTGGACACATTCTGGTTGGCACCTGCTGTCCAGAAAACCCTTACTGGCACCCTGGGAGGTACAGGCATCCCACACCATTACTGCGTGGCCTCAGTTTCCTCAACTTTCCTGGGTTCCTTTAACCCAAACAATCTCTAATATTAACAGTAACATCAGCAATATATTGATGACTTATATTCAATGAGCTCTTCCTCTGTGCCAGGCACCCTCTGTGCTAAGCAATTTGCATGTATCGTCTCGGCCTGGCCAGTTTGGCTCAGCGGTTGGAATGTTGGCCCACAGACCAATGAGTCTCGGGTTCAGTTTTAGTCAAGGGCACGAATCTTGGTTGCAGTTTGACCCCGGCCCTGTCAGGTCATGCAGGAGGCAGCCAGTCGACGTGTCTCTCTCACATTGATGTTTCTCTCTCTCTCTCTCCCCCTCCCTTCCACTCTATCTGATGATAAATAGAAAAATATCCTCGGGTCGCCCTGGCCAGTTTGGCTCAGCGGTTGGAGTGTTGGCCTGCGGTCCAGAGAGACCCTGGTTCGGTTCCCGCTAAGAGCGTGTATCTGGGTTGCAGTTTGTCCCCGGCCCTGATTGGTTGTGTGGGTGGCAGCCACTCGATGTGTCCCTTTCACGTCACTGTTTCTCTCTCTCTCTCCCTTCCTCTCTCTCCCTCCCACTCTATCTGAACAGAAATGGAAAAATGTCCTCAGGTGAGGATAAAAAAAAAATATATATATATATCCTCTGGTGAGGATTAAAAAAAAATACATGTATCATCTCATTAAAAAAAAAATATATATATATATATATATATAGATAGATAGATATATATATTTACTTTGACCTAATTTTAGACTTACAGAAAAGGTACATGATTAGTATACAAACCTTTTAAATGCCCCTCACCTAGAGTCCCCCAGTGTTAAGGTTTCACTGCAGTCGTGTGGTCCTTTCAGTCTTCATACAGACACTGTTTTTCCTGCCTGTTTAAGAGTGGGTGGCGAACACGATGCCTCTCTGCTTCTGTATACTTCATTGTGCATTTCTTACAAATAAGGAGTTCTCTTATTTAACCGTGTACAAGTAGGAAAATTAAGAGATTAACATGGAAATATTATCATTGTCTAAGCTGTAGGCCTTTTGTAACTTGTCCCAATAACTTACAGCAAAAGAAATCTGAGCTCCTGCCTTGCACTCAGTTGTCATGTCTTCTTCGGCTCCTTTAATCTGGGATTATTCCTGAGTCTTTGTTTGTATTTTATGACACTGACCGTTTTTTGTTTTTTTTTTCATTTGTGTGAGAGAGAGACATCAGTTGATTGTCTCCCTCATGGCCCCAGTTGGGGTCCAAGTTCCAACCTGCAGCCGAGGTACGTGCTCTTGACCGGGAATCGAACTCGGACCCTTCGGTTCTCGGGCCAGCGCTCTAACTGCTGAGCCAAACTGGCCAGAGCTGTCTGGCTTCTTTTAGTTGGCATAATGTGTTCTAGGTTCATCCATGTTGAAGCATGTGTCAGTACTTCATTCCATTTATGGCTGAATAATATTCCATCATATGAACATACCACATTTGGTTTACCCACTCATTAGTTGATTGACATTTGGACTGTTTCTACTTTTTGGCTATTGGGAATAACGTTGCGAAGAACATTCATGTACAAGTTTTTGAGTAAACATGGCTTCAGTTCTCTTGGGTATGCACTTAGGAGTAGAATTGCTGGGTCATAAGAACCTTTTGAGGAATTGCCAACCAGCAACTACACCATTTTACATTCCCATCAGTAGTACCAATTTCTTCACATTCTCACCAACACTTGTTATTTTCCATATTTTTAATTATAGACATCTATTTTTAAATTTTTAAATTGGGTTATTTGTTTTCTGTATTATTGAGTGGTAAGTTTTCTTCTTTATTTTTTTCTTGTAAGGACTGTTGCAGTCTGCATAAGCCTTTTTTTTTCTATATATGTTTTTATTGATTTTTTTGTAGAGAGAGGAAGGGAGAGAGAGATAGAAACATCAATGTGAGGAGAAGCACTGATCAGCCGCCTCCTGCACGCCCCCTACTGGGATGGAGCCCGCAACCCGGGCACATACCCTGACCAGGAATCGATCCGCAACCTCTCAGTCCACGGGACGACACTCAGTCCACCGAGCCACATCAGCCAGGCAACACTTTATATATTTTGTGTACTAGATTCTTATCACTTATATGGTTCACAAATGTTTTCTCCCACCCTGTGGGTTATCTTTTTGCTTTCTTGGCAATGTGTTTTGATGCATAAAAGTCCTTAATTTTGGTAAAGTCTAGCATCTGTTTCTTCTGGCACCTTGTAGACTGCCCCTGAGTTTGCGTTTGACCGAGGTCTCCTCAAGATTGGGTTCAGGTTATGCACCATGTCCTTAAACTGTCCTCAGCACCTGGAGGGAGGTGCTGTTATCCTGTGAAGCCCCGAGTTCGTGGGCTTGGTCACATAGCCGGTTTGAGGGTGAGCTGCTTTCTCCCCAGCCCCACTGAGAGCAGTGCACACTCACCTGGGGCTACTTGTCGCCTCTGCTGCTGGCAGGACGGGGCTTCGGGGGCAGTGGGAGTTGTGGCCCAGTCTAGGAGCTGGTGGGAAGGGCGGAGCCCTCGGCCTGCCCACCCCACCCTGGGCTTGGGGAGGCCTGAGGACCGCGCAAGGCTGAGGCCCACCCTGCCGGCCCCTCCGCAGCTGGGTGTTCGTGGTGAAGAAGGGTTACCAGGACACCGACACCTCCCTGCAGAGCAGCATCATCACCAAAGTCAAGGGCGTGATCTTCACCAACACCTCAGAGCTGGGGGAGCGGCTCTGGGATGTTGCTGACTACGTCATCCCCCCCCAGGTCTGAACCCCACCCGAGCTGGCAGGGCCTGGCTGGGGTGGGTCACATGGGAAGCTGCTCTGGGACCCAGGGACCTCCATGCATTGTCTCCCTCGGCCCAGGACAGCTGCCAGGGTTTGTAAATAGAGATTCTGTTCAGATCCTTCTCCCCACGCCCGGCTCCTGTCCCCCTTGCCTGTGCCTCATGGAACCCCTCTGTTTCCAGAAACCTGAGCCTGTTGACACCCAGTGGGCTCGGAGAATTTTCAGGTCGATGTGAGTTCCTTAGATCAGCTCCTGGCCAGTTCACAGTCTACCTGGGCCAGGGCTGGGGCTGCCTGCCACTGCCCCTCCTCCTCCTCCTGAGCTGGGACTTGGTCCCCAGGGGCTGAGGTCAGAGTAGGGATTTGTGGGATAGGGGCAGTTTGCAGGTGTGGGCCTCGAAGGAACCTATTAAAGGACATCTACTCAGGGACTCTGAGGTCAGTGGGCAGGTGGGTGGGATGGCATCCATTGATTTTATGGCCCCGTTGTCCCCAGCACCATGCACAGACCCCTCCCCCTGCAAGGCAGCCCTGGGAAGGAGGGTCCCCAAGAGGACAGAAGGAGGTTCCTTAGTGCCTCTCTGGTTCCTCAGGGGGAGAATGTCTTCTTCATCATCACCAACCTGATCGTGACCCCCAACCAGCGGCAGGAGACCTGTGCCGAGGTTTGCTTTGCCATGAGAGCACCCCAGCACGAGTCGGGCTCTGTCCGTCTTCAGAAGCAGGGGCTCTGTCCCCTCCAGGGCGCCGGGGATGTGTGCGCTGGTGCATGTGCCGTACAGTTTGAGGGAGAAACTGGTGGGTGCGTGGCCCAGGCGGGGAGGAACCTCTGTCCTACTCCGGGGGTGGGACCTGGCCTGGGCGGGGAGCCCTGCAGGGGAGCTCTCCACCCAGGCGCCTTCTCCGGCAGAGTGCAAGCATCCCTGACGCCGTGTGCCTTGAGGACCAGGGCTGCCCTCCTGGGAAGCCTGTTGTGACTGGAAACGGTGAGGCCTGGATGGCCGGGGCTGGGGGCAGACGGGCTTGGGGCCGGAGCTCCGGGCACTATCCCTGTCCCCCTGCAGGAGTGAGGACCGGCCGCTGCCTGCGGGGGGAGAACAAGCAAAATGGCACCTGTGAGATCTTCGCCTGGTGCCCAGTGGAGACAGGGTCCAGGCCAGAGTAAGTGGCTGGACTCAGGACTGAGGAGCTTCCCAGTCCTGTGCAGTGGGCCCTGGCCTGACGGCGGAGACGCGTCCACTCCAGAACCCTCGTGCTGAGGACACCCCACAAAGGCCTGAGCACCCCATCGATGTGAACAGATGAACTCCGGGGGCCCCAGGGAGCAGGCGGGCCTCAGCCCCACCAGGCCTGGGGGAGGGATGGAGAGGGCAGGCTCCCTAACAGGCTGTCCTGGCTTGGTTTTCAGGGTCCCACTCCTGGGCAAGGCCGAAGACTTTACCATTTACATAAAGAACTTCATTCATTTCCCCAAATTCAACTTCTCCAAGTATGTGGGGCTTGGCTCCTGGGAATGCAGGGGGGGGCCTTGCCTGGTCCCCCTGTGGCTGGGCCCCTGTGTATGTAACGTGTGTGTGTGTAAATGAACGGGGGGCTGCTGGGTGCCCCTTCCCCTGCTGTGTGGTCGGGCTCTGTTCTGGAATGCAGGAGGACGCTAGCGTGGATGCGGTCGGGGCTGAGTAGGGGACTAAATTCAGGGATTGCCTGGGCCAGGTGAGGGGCCCTGTGACTCCTGCATCAGATCCAGTCTCTGGCCTGAAACAGCAAGTCTACCTCTATTTCTCTGCCTGTTTGTGGCCTCCACCCAGGACCAATGTGCTGGACACCAAGGACAATGCTTACCTGAAGTCCTGTCAGTTTGGTCCCAAGAGCCCCTATTGCCCCATCTTCCGACTGGGCACCGTGGTCAGCTGGACCGGGAGCGATTTCCAGGACATGGCCAAGCAGGTGGGTGGTGTGCACTCAGGGAGCCCTCCCTGGGGTCCTAAGGGCTCCGTAAGGAGGAGGGTGTGTGTGAGGGGACCCCTGGGGTGGGCTGGCCCTGCAAAGTCCCCTGCCCCAGGGATTTCCTGTTTTTGGAATTTGCTGTGTCTGCTCCGACCTCAGGCACTCGGTGAGGGGCACGCTCGGCATCTGCCATTTGGTTCTTAGTCGCTGGGGCAGCACCAGCTGAACCAGAGGGAGCCCCCTGGCACGTCCTGGCTGTGTGTATGGTGCCTGCCCATAGCACAGTTGGCGCTCACCCGGTAGTTCTCATCTCTGGAGCATGAGGCAGGAGGATACAGGGCTGTCAGCGACACCTCTCAGCCTCCCCTGGACCTTCCGCCTTCCACCACCAGAAGGACACTGCAGCCGGGCTGACCCCTGGCCGCAGCACGTCCCCAGTTTTGTCTAGCTCTGCGTGGAGAGCAGGTCTGTGACCGCTGTCCATCTCCAGGAAGCTCTATGCACAGATTCTTGTCTCTCTTTCGTCAAGGGTGGTGTGATAGGAATCCAGATCGAGTGGGACTGTGATCTGGACAAAGATCCTTCTGAATGCAACCCTCGCTATTATTTTAAACGTCTGGACCGCAGATTTCCAGGAAACTCTGTCTCTTCCGGGTATAACTTCAGGTAACTTGGGGCTGGGCCTGCTGCCTTATGACTCTGTTTCCTGTCTTCTGGAAGTAAGTGTCAGGTCGGGTGGTGCGGGGAGAGACAGCGAGGAGATGTGAGAGCTGGCCTCCCGCAGGGCCGCAGGGAGAGCAGAGAAGGGTCTGTCGTCGCCCTGGGCTCCCTGTGAAGCTGAGACTGGACTTCTCAGCTGGATCAGCTCCATCATGCTTTGGTGGCCCTGGGTTGGCCCAGCATGTAGTGTGAAAGCCCTCATCTCTTGGGGAATGTCTGGCAAGGACTTCAAAGATCTGGATGAATATTTAGCATAATGTCAGCAAGAGGGTCTGCAGCCTGTCCTGGGGCTGCTGTGAGTGAAGTTCCGGGGTTGCTTATGGATCTCCAAAGCAGCCAAGTCTGTGTTGCCAGACAGGGAAGGCCCAGCAGGGCTGAGCTCTCCCCTGAGCCATGTCTCCCCAGGTTTGCCAAATATTACCGGGACGAAGCCGGGGTGGAGTTCCGCACCCTCATGAAAGCCTACGGCATCCGCTTTGATATCATGGTGAATGGAAGGGTGTGTGAGCTGCGCCTGCCACTCGGGGGCGGGGCAGGTCCGGGTTGGGCAGGTCTGGGCGGGTTGGGCAGGTCTGGGCGGCGCAGGTCTGGGTTGGGCAGGCCTGTTGGGAAGGCTCTGGCTGGAGTCCCTAGGGATCCTGCTGTCCACCTGCCTCCCTCACCCGCCTCGTCTCTCTCTGTGCTTCAGGCAGGGAAGTTTAACATCATCCCCACGATCATCAACGTGGCCTCAGGGGTGGCACTCATGGGTGTTGTGAGTACTTCTCCCTTCCTTCCCCTTTACCCTCTGAGCACCAGGGCAGCACTGCCCCAGGGGAGCTGTCCTGACGCCCCAAAAGAAAGAGCTGAAGGTCAGTGCAGGTGCCAGTGAGTACTTCTTTCTGGGACTTCACACCCCGCCAGTGGCCCCCAGGGGGCAGTAACTGCCTTTCTTTCCAGAGCCAGAGGCACCTGCCTGTTGCTTTGGAGCTGGGGTTGGGGATGGGGACTCTGGGATACTGAATTAGCCCCTGAACTTTTATTTTATGTATGTATTTATTTTTTTATTATTGACACTATTACAGAAGTTCCCCATTTCCTCCCCCTTTGCCCACCTCCACCCAGCCCCTGCCCCCCTTCCCTCTGGCCATCAGCACACCGTTGTCTGTGTCCATGGGCTATGCATATATGTTCTTCAGCTAATCTCTTCACCTTCTTTCATCCAGTTTCCCCACCCCCTTCCCTCTGAGATCTGCATCCATGCCTTTGTGTCTATTTTGTTTATCAGTTTATTTTGTTCATTAGATTCCACATGTAAGTGAGATCATGTGGTATTTGTCTTTTCTCCGACTGGCTTATTTCACTTAGCATAATACTCTCCAGGTCCCTCCATGCTGGTGCAAAGGGTAAGAGAGCCTTCTTTTTTACAGCCATGTAGTATTCATTGTGTAAATGTACCACAGCTGGATTAACCCCTGAACTTTTTAAATTTTTCTTTATTGATTTTAGAGAGGAAGGGAGAGGGAGAGGTAGAAACATCAATGAGAGAGAACATCGACTGGCTGCCTCCTGCATACCCCCACTGGGGATTGGACCCACAACCTGGGCATGTGCCCTGACCGGGAATTGAACCAGTGATCTCTTGGTGTATGGGTCAGTGCTCAACCACTGAGCCACACCGGCGGGGAACCCCTGAACGTTTAAAGCCTCATCTCCACTTCTTTTTGTTTAATCCTCACCCAAGAATATTTTTCCATTTATCTGGGAGGGAGGGAGAGAGAGAGAAACATTAATATGAAAGAGAGACATCAATTGGGAGAGAAACACATTGATTGGTTGCCTCCTGCACAACCCCAACCAGGGCTGAGACCGAACCGCATCTGAGGTACGTGCCCTTGACTGGAATTGAACTCGCGACTCTTTGGGCTGCTGGAGGATGCTCTAATTGTTGAGACAAACCAGCCAGGACCTCCTCTCCACTTCTAAAAAGAGACAGGATCCAGCTGTTTACAGGGTTTCTCAACTGTGGCCCCGTGGAACAGGAATTAAAAAAAAAAAAAAAAACATTTCCGGGATTAAAAAGAAGAGGTGTGCAGAGCCCAGGGCCTGTGGACCCCCGGCTATCAACCTCCTCCGACCCCGACCCTCTTCTCATTCAGGAAGCACTCTGTGTTGAGGGTGGGTTCGCCCTCTGGTGGAGGAGACGGGCATTGCACCATGCGCTCTGGTTCGAGGTGCTCTGCTCAGGTGTCAGTGCGTCCCAGCTGGGTGAGCTCAGGAGGCCTCATCTTTCCTTGGCCACTGTTGTGGTGGTGTCCTTGTTATTCAGATCCCCTCCAACCCATCTCTCACACTGAACTATCAGAAGGATCTTTTAAAAATGCTGCAATTCTGACTGTCCTGCCCCTATTCAAAGCCCTCAGTGCCTTCCCCTAGAGCAGCGGTTCTCAACCTGTGGGTTGCGACCCCTTTGGGGTCACCTAAGACTTAACAGTAGCAAAATTACAGTTATGAAGTAGCAACGAAAATAATTTTATGGTTGGGGGCACTGCAACATGAGGAACTGTATTAAAGGGTCGCGGCATTAGGAAGGTTGAGAACCACTGCCCTAGAGGATTAGAACCAGTGTCTTGAAGACGTTTTTAAGAAGCTTTACAGGCTGGTCCCCATCCACCTCTCCAGAAGCGTCTCTAACTCCCCCACAGGCCCTGTGGAATTCCCCAGACAAGACAAGCTTGTTCCTGCCTCTGCAATGCCTTCCCAAGTTCTTTTCCCCCTTGGTATAAATTCCTGTTCAGCCCTCAAGACTCAGCCCCGGCTGAGTCAAGTCCTCTCTCCATCACAGGACATGTCACTCTGTGCCACAAGTTACATGCTTATCTCTTGTGCCAGAGGGAGGTTCCCCAGAGGGTCTAATTGTGTTAACCCTCCTGCACCCCAGGGCAGTACCTGGCACGTGGTGAATGGTCAGCAAACATTCATTGAAGGCAGGATTCGATGGGGTCAGGGGAGTGTGGGAGGTGCTTAGCCTGAGGGGTCAGGTGGATCAGGCTAACCTGGGCTCTACCATGGACTGCTTTGTGGTGCCTCTTTCTGAGCTCAGTCTCCCCCTATAAAGTGGGGACAACGACGCCCCCTTCTGGGATTGTTACAGGATTGAATGGTACGTAGTACGGGCAGTTGTCCATGGGCTCTCCAGAAGTCTAGGGTTCTGAGTCGGGGACCCCCAACTCTTTTGCAGGGGTCTTTCTTCTGCGACCTGGTACTCATCTACTTCATCAAAAAGAGCCATTTTTACCGCAAGAAGAAGTACGAGGAAGCAAGGTCAGTTACACTTCCTCGCAAGTGGCCCGAGGGGAGCCCTGTGGAACCACCTCCGGCCTGCCCCTCTCTGTCTTAGGACCTTTACCCTGGGTGGAGGGCGGCACTTGGGTGCGGAGGCAGGGCTGAACATGGGAGCTGCCCTGGAAGGGCCGGGAAAGTGGACTGTTCTGAGCACATGCTCTTCAGAACTGGACTCCGTCCGACTCAGAGCAGCCGGCAGAAGGAAAAGCCAGCAGAGGCCATGGGCAGACCTGGCTTCCAGGCCAGGACAAGTCCCATGCCTCTTTGGGCCTCGTTTCTCTCTGCGAAACAAGAGAATTGGTTCACAATAGGGCCTGCTGGCACTTACTTGGTAGTCCTGGTGGGCTGGGTTGAGGAAAGCTGGAGTGGTAAGGGAAGAAAAAGGATTTTTAAAATTACATGAGCCTATTTTCAGGTTCTCTTGGGCTGAGGGCTTGTTGGGGTGTGCATCTGTGGACAGACAGGAAGGGGAAGGTTCCCTGGGGGAGCTGGGACTAGAATGGGGAATTGCAGGTGGTGGGCTCGGGACAGGCACCCGAACTCCCTCAACCCCACCACAACCTGGGACAACAGGCGGAGTCAGCCCGCACCATTCACCTGGCTCGAACCCCAGCTCTGGCTCATAGGCTGAGCCTTGAGCCCTGACCCTGCCTCAGACGGAGTCCTCGCCGCACCTGCCGCCCCACCTGAGCTGCTGGAGGAAGACGGGCTCTGTCCTCAGGGCTAGTGGCTCTGCAGGGGGCGGGGGGGGGGCAAGCTGCACAGGCTAGTCCTGCCCAGGGACCTAGCGGTCCTCACCCTGCTGGCAGAGTCTTGGCAGCAGGATGGGCCCCAGAGGCTGAGGACAAAGTGGAGGGGCCTGGGCTACTGGGCACAGGACGAAAGGTGGTGGCCCAGAGAATGGCCGAGTGTGCTGGCATCTCCTGGAACGAGCTACGGTGGTCCCTGCTCTGTGGTGACCTCGCTCACAAGGAAGGACGTCCAGGACCTATGAGTGTCCAACCAAGCTGGACTCGGGGTGGGGGGAGAAGATGCTGGTGGTGCTTTAGCCCCTCCGTGACCCTCATTAGCCCCCAGTACCCCTAAGTCACCACAAAGCAGCCTGCTCACTGTGCTATCCCAGTGTTAAGACAATAAATAATTCTGTCATTCACGTAGGCTTACTCTCTGCCCAGCATTGCTCCGAGCAATTTGTATATATGAACTTATTTCAGCAACTTGAATGAGGTGGACACTAATATTCCCTATTCTGCTGTAGAGGAAACAGAGGCACAGGAAGGTTAAGTAACTTGTTTGGGTCACACAGTTAATAAATGGCAGAGCTGGGGTGGGAATCCAGGCAGCGTGTCTCTGGAATTCAGTTCTTCTCCATCAGGTTATTCTGCTTTATCAAGCTCTGCCCCATCAGTTAGCTTCCCTAAGTGCCTCTCCTCTCGCAGTGGGTGGGCTCAGGAGGGTGGTGGCTGTGCTGACAGGTGGCCCACAGGCTGCCCTCCCCTGGGTCGCTGTCCTGAGCAGCCTGGTCAGCCAGGCTAGGGTTCTGTGACTCTCCTCTTGTAAGCCACATCCCAGGAACTCACTGGCCTGGGGCGGACTTTCCTCCCGCCCCAGCTTTCATTTTTTGCTGACTCAGAGGTTGGCAGCCTCCAACCAGAAGCTGGGCCTGGGCAGGGAAGGAGTGTTAATAGGACAGAGGCAGGGAAGGGATGGGAAGGAGTGAAGAAAGAGGATGTAGGGGTGCAACTGGGGCAAGGAGGCAGTGGAAGCGGGGGATCTGCCGGGCTGGCTGGGCACCCAGTAACCCCCACACGGCTCCCTGAGCTGACTGTCACTTCTTGGGTGCTTGCCTGAGCTCCTTAGCCTATGAGAGGGAAGAATGGCCACCATGCTGGTCTTCGAGCAGCCTCACTTGCCGTTGTGGGAGGCACGGGGTGCCCCTGCGGTGGCTGCTGTTCATTGCTGGGGCAGCTCCAGAGGCCTTGGCCTGAGCATCTCCATGTGTCTGGGCTGCAGCTGGGAGCCCGGCACATGGCCTTTCTGCAGGTGCTTTAGGGAGTCTGTCCCTGTCCACAGGGGTCCCAACCTCGCTCATTGCCCTGTGTGCCCCTCACCTGCCCACACACAGGTCTGGCCAACGGGGGAATGGAACTGTGACTGTGGAGCAGCTGCAGAACCTGCAGACAGTGGAGGCATAGCCAGAGGCTTGGCCGGCCGAGAGATTTGGTGAAGAGTCGGGGGCAGAACCAACCGCCTGCAGCTCTGAACTGGGAAGAGCCTCTTTGTGTCTGCTGGGGACCGGGGCTGCCAGGCTCCACCATCTCTCCTGCACTTTGGGATCTTGCCACAAGCTTTTTGTTGTGGGTGGAGGGAGGAGAGCCTCTCAGTGGCAGAGTGGCTCCGATGGCGAAGAGGATACTGGAGGGGAAGGGGGGCAGGCCAGGGTGTGAATGATTCTGGTGTTTGCATTTCTTCTGAGAACCTAGTTGGACATTCACTCACGCATTTATTTGTACATGAAGTAAAAATTTTTTGCAGTGGGCTGGGCCCTATCTAAGAGATGCTTGAATGAGATTCCCTCCAGAGACAACAGACTTTACAGCCAGGCTCAGCCACTCTGGCCTGCCTCCAGCCGACTTTCACAAATTCCTATAGAAAGTGATAGCTCTTCAGAGAAAAACCATTGTCCACAGGGATTCAATTTAGAGGTGGCTTAGGAGGCAACCAGGAGAGGACGGACAGTCAGGAGGCAGCTGGTCCTTGAGGGGAGAGGCAGCTGCCGAGGGCGTCTAGGTAAGGTGGGGAAGGGAGGCAGCGAGGCTCAGGCCGGGGAGGCTCCAGGCAGAGCATCTCCCAGATGGGGCATCGCTGACTGTGGTCTGGCTCTTGCTGCTCTGTGGGGTTGGGTGTCCCTGCCCAGCTTCCTTCCCCTTCTCCTCAAAGGGTGGCTGGGTCTGAAGGGCTAATAACATGGTGCTCACTTAGCAGGTGGAACAGTTGTTGTTAGGAGGCCCTGGCCCCTCTCCCACCTGCAGATCGCCGCTGTCCCCTCCCTCAGCAGCGGTACAGCTTCAGTCCTCAAAGTGTGGTCCCTGAGCCAGCAGCAAGGCATCACCTGGGAGCTTGTTAGACACGCAGTCTCCAACCCTCCCCTCCTCCTGAATCAGAACCTGGGCTCCCGGGTGATGCCTGCACTTCTTACATTTGAGACGCCCTGGTTGAGGAGTCTGCAATGCCTGCTTCTGAGGGAGAACAGAGCCAGCTTTGGTGGGTGGCACCAATTTCTAGGTCAGATTTACATAGGAAAAGGAGCATCAGTCATTTCATTTAAATAAAAATATTTCAACTAGGTAATACTTCTATGATTCAAAACTGGAAAGGCACAAAAGAATAGATGTGAAAGCTTCCCTCCCACCCCTGCTCTGGAGGCAACCTGTTACCAATTCCAAGAGGTGCCCTAATTTTCAAGCTGAGACTCCACTTGGTTACTCGGTCTTCCCCAGGAAATGAACTTTTCCTGATGCCTGCACTTTTCAGAAAGGGTCAGGATGGAACAGGCTTGAGTACTGGGCTGGGAGCCAGCTAGCTAGCTTCTCCCTCCCCCAGTGTCTGGGGAGTCCCTGTGCAAACCCAGGGAGAGACTTAGAGCCCGTCACTCACTGAACTCGGGGCTGCAGAGTCCTGAGGTGCTGTTTGCACAGCTGCCAGGAGCCTGGGGTGCACCCTCTAGGGAAGCGCTCTCAGATCCCTGAGTCAGGGGAGCCTGCTTCTTTGCACACAGAGCAGGGGGTAAGCATTCTTCCCCTGGGGCCTTTGGAGAGGGTCAGAAGGGGCCTGAAAGGTTTTTGGTGAGGCTCCGCCACTGGGGTGGTCCCCAGAACAGGGACCCTTCTGGGGCAAGCAGTTCCCTCACCTTGGGCTGCCTGGTAACCTGTCAACAAGCCCACTTGTTCTCTAAATAGAAAGTGAAAAACCTGGGCAATCCATTCTGGTGTTTGACTTCATCACGAAAGCAAACTCTTGGATTGGATAATCTAGCCTCTTCCTTTAATGTTCGGGAGAAGGTAAAAAAGGGCAGGGGCGCCCTGGCCAGTATGGCTCATTAGTAAGAGCATCGCCTGTGGACCTAAGAGTCCTGGGTTCGATTCCAGCCAAGGGCACGTACCTCGGTTGCGGTTCGTCCCCGGCCCCAGTTGGGGTTGTGCGGGTGGCAACCACTCTGTGTCTCTCTCACATTGATGTTTCTCTCTCTCTCCCTCCAGCTCTATCTGAAGATTAATGTAAAAAATGTCCTCGGGTGAGGATTTAAAAAAAAAAAGGGCAGTGGCATGGCTGCTCAGGAATTGGTCTGGTTTCTTTTAACCTGTTTTGGAATTGCTTGGCAGGAGCCATAAAACCTAGAACAGTTCTGTTTATTTTGTATTGGAATGACAATGTCAGTAAATATTTATTGAATACCTATTGTGTCAGGTGTTGGATTAAATGCTGGTGACACAGTGGCAAGCAACACAGAAATGGTCCTTGTGGAGCGCTTCCAGCCCTGGGGCAGCTGAACCTTACCCAGTGGTCACACACATCATCAGACTGAACTGTTGTCAGTGGAGAAGCCAGAGAAAGTTTCCCTAAGAAAGTGACTTATTAATTGAAACCGGAACTTCCGGTCAAGATGGCGGGTAGGTAAACATGGTATCGCATCCTCCCACAACCACATCAAAGTTACAACTAAACTACAGAACAACCATCATTTGAAACTGCCTGAAATCAAGCTGAATGGAAGTCCTACAACTACGGAATTACAGAAGCAGCCACATCGAGACTGGTGGGAGGGGCGGCGGCAGACGGGCAGGTCCCACACCCACGTGTGGCAGATAAAAATCAGGAGGACACCTCGGCTGGGAAGGTCCTTCCTGAGGACTGAGGGGTCCTTGTCCCACACCAGATACCCCACTCAGGGTTCCAGTGCCAGGAAGAAAAGTCCCCATAACCTCTGGCTGGAAAAACCAGCGGGAACTGAGGCTCAGGGAGGCTGACGTGGCTGGAGCCCTAGGCAGCTCCTCTTAAAGGGCCCGTGCATGGACTTATCGGACTCACTCCCTCTAAGCTTGGAGGGGAGGCAGAGACATACAGGAAAGAACTGAGCTGTTTGGCATTGGAGCGAGGGCTGGAGAGGGGGCTTTCTCCAGGACAAACGTGCTGTCAGAGGCCTTTGTTCCTTTGGTGAGCCCTTTCCTGGGGTGGCAGAGAGCCACCAAATCTGGGACTCCAGCAACCTGGCTCACACTGGTAGCCCCGCCCTGGTGATTCCCTGAGGCCCCACCCCACCCAACTTTCAGGCCCACCCAAGCTGTTGCCAGTTGCTTAACCATAGGATTGACCTGTCTTGGATCCTACTTCAGGTTTTCCTAAATTCTTTCAAACAAGCAGCATCTGGTCTCAGCTAGCTCCATACCTCTTGTTCAGTAATACATAGACACAAACACAGGGAGGCAGCCAAAATGAGGAGACAAAGAAACAGGTCCCAAATGAAAGAACAGAAAAAATCTCCAGGAAAAGAACTAAGCGAAATGGAGATAAGCAACCTAACAGATGCTGAGTTCAAAATACTGCTTATAAGGATGCTCAATGAACTCAGTGAGAACCTCAGTGAACTTAGTGAGGGCCTCAAGAGCATAAAAAAGGACAAGTCAGAAATGAAGGATGCACAGTCAGAAATGAAGGAGGCACTAACTGAAATAAAGAATAATTCACACAGATTCAATAGTAGAGTAGGTAAAGCCGAGAAACAAACCATCGATTTGGAATATAAGGAAGCAAAAAACGCCCAATTAGAACAGCAAAAAGAAAAAAGAATCCAAAAAAATGAGGAGAGTGTAAGGAGCCTCTGGGACAACTTCAAGCGTGCCAACATTCGCATCTTGGGGGTGCCAGAAGGAGAAGAGCAAGAACAAGAAATCGAAAACCTGTTTGAAGCAATAATGGCAGCAAACTTTCCTAACTTGGTGAAGGAAACAGACATACAAGTCCAGGAAGCACAGAGTCCCAAACAAGTTGAACCCCAAGAGGTCCACACCAAGACACATCATCATCAAAATGCAAAATGTTCAAGACAGAGAGAGAATCTTAAAAGCAGTAAGTGAAAGGCAGCTAGTTGCCTACAAGGGAGGTCCCATAAGACTGTCAGCTGATTTCTCAAAAGAAACTTTGCAGGCCTGAAGGGAGTGGCAAGAAATATTCAGAATGATGAAAAGCAAGAACCTACAACCAAGATTACTCTATCCTGCAAAGCTGTCATTTAGAATCGATGGCCATATAAAGAGTTTCCCAGACAAGAAAAAGTTCATCACCACCAAACTTTATTATATGAAATGTTGAAGGGTCTTTTTGAAGAAAAAGGTAAAATATATGAACAAACAAAATGGCAATGAATACGTGTTTACTGACAATGGAATCTACAAACACAATGAACAGGCAGAACAGAAACATTCTCATAGATACAGAGAACATTTTGTTGGTTGCCAGATGAGAGGTTTGGGGGAATGGGTGAAAAATGTGAAAGGATTAAGAAGAACAAATTGGTTGCTAGACTGACAAACCTCAAAGTGAAGGGGGTTGGGGGGTGGGAAGAAATAAACCAAAGAACTTATATGCATAACCAATGGACACAGACAACAGTGTGGGAAAAGGCAGGAGGGGGGTGGGAGTGGGGAGGAGGGGGTCAATGGGAGAAAAATGAGGAACATCTGTAATACATTCAACAATAAAGATTAAAAAAAAAAAAATTGAAACCGGAAAGGTTGGTAGCAGTCTAAGCAGGTGGTGGAAGAAGTATTCCAGGTAAGGGAACCACCCATGGAAAAGAAATGCCCAAAATGAGGAGCAACCGAGCAACTGGATGAAAACTGACTGGAGCCATGAGGCTTTCTTTTCATCAGCTTACTTTAAGGGTTGCCCCATTAAACTTCACTGCCATAGAGAACTTGCTCAACCTAATTGTTCAAGTCCAGCAAAGCTTTCCTGGTGGCCTCCCTATGACCTTCAGGGGTGCCATGCTCAGAAAAGCCGGTGACCCAATTACAGCACTGCAGTGTTGCACACGGCCCAAGTTCCCTTGCATGTGCACCTCCCCCTGCTCATTCCTTGTTTTTTGTTTTTATCCTCACTCAAGAACATTTTTCGATATTTTGTTCAGATAGAGTGGGAGGGAGAGATAGAGAAACATTGATGTGAAAGGGACATATCGAGTAGTTGCCACCCACATGACCCAACCAGGGCTGGGGACAAACTGCAACCGAGGTACGCACCCCTAGCAGGAACCGAACCCGGGTCTCTCTGGACCGAAGGCTGACGCTCTAACTGCTGAGCCAAACCGGCCAGGGAACTCATTCCTTGTTTTGTTTTTTTTTGCATAACGCTGGTGCAGGAGTGGGAGGCTCATTAATCTTACAGAAGTGGCTTTGAAATAGAAAGAAATGAAGCAGGAAATTGAGCTCCTTTCAAACTCTGGAAAGCTCCTTTCTCCAGGGTGCTTGCTGCTTCCCCAGGAAGAGGGGTGTGACAGCCTCTCCAGTTGACAGTCCAGGATCATGCGAATTGCCTATGCTACGTTCAGGCCCCAGCCTAAAGCCACTCAACTAGTATTTTCCTAATGACCGAGTTATTCCATGCCTTGGGAGTACTATGCTACAGCTCAAAAAACAAGTATGTAAATTGAGTGCTATCAACATGACATCACAACGACCAGCCAAGAAAGAGCCCAGTGCCTTCTACTCCTAATGCAGGGGTCATCAGGATTGAGCAGTCACAGCTGCCCCGCCCCTCTGCCATCCCATCAGTTTTCTTCTCAGTGGCAAATTTTCTGGGACCTGACCAGTATATATAAATTCTCTGTTTTTATTTGGTTATAAAACATCAACAGGGCTAACTTTAAATCTGTCATGATTTTTCTTCCCTTCGTATTTTCATGGTTACCCACATTTTAGAGGAAAATGTAAGAGAAAGCGAGACCAAAAGAGGCAGACACAGAAACAATCACTGAGCAATATAGTATGTTCCTTATTATCTTGCAAAGAAATTCAAATGCAAGTAAGTAAAGTCATTAAATGAGCAAACACTAGGACTAGGAAGGCACTGATAAAACTGGCACTTTTCATTCAATGAATAATCTGGTAAAACTCTGGGAAGCATTTGAAATGAAGTTTAGTCTGCTCTAGCCTATTAAATTCCCTCAAAACAATACAGAGATGAAGACATTCACTGCAATATTTTTTTGTAATAGTGAACATTTCAAACAACCTTACTGCCTAACAATAAAGGGTTAGGAAATCAGCTCCTTTACCTCCCCTCTTCTCCTCCCCCACAAGCCAAGTGGGACCCACTGCTTCTTCCTCCTTAGCCCACATCAGGAAAGACCCCTCCCTTCCCACTCAGAGAAGGCTCAGAGAGGGCTGGGGCGGTTGGAGGAGGGGGTACAAACCCTTAATGTGAGCATCTTTGGTGGTGGTCAGAGTGAAGGGTTCAGAGGAAGTCACTGGGGGAGAGGGAGGCAAAGCTATGGCCTCAGCTGCTTCTTGGCTTCACATGCGAGCATATATGTAGTCCAGAACCCAAAATGGGATTCAGGAGGCCTGGGTTCCAGATCCATTTCCATTACTGGCCACGGGCCAATACCATCTGCAAAAAGGGACTTGGATTCAAGCTCTCACATCCCCACCTGATCTAAAACTGATTAAAAAAATCCAAATCTGATCACAGAACTCTGGGTGAAAACATTCAAAGCCTTCCCCCAGTTGCTCTTAGAATCAAAGCCCAACTCCCCACTGTGGCGCCCTCCATGTTCTGGCCCAGGTCTACCTCATAGCTTCCCTAACTCTTCAGATACAGGCTAAACTCCTTCCTGCCCAGTGGCCCCCACACATGTGCTTTCTTCTAAGTACCCCATTCTCCACACTTTACTTGACTGTTATTCAGCCTTCGGTTCTCTAATGTTATTTCCTCAAAGAAGACTTTCTTGAACCCCACTTCCCAACCTGGGTTCAGTGGGGTTCCTATGTACTCTCTTCACAGGACTTACATTAATTTAAATATTTGTGAAGTTAGATAATGCGGGTCTTCCTACTCAGACTATAAATTCCATGAGCAACATGTTCATTACTGTAACTCTAATGTAGTATTTATTCCTCAACTAAAATATGCATTTTATTGTAAGATAACCCTCCTGACAAGAAATCACTGATTAGCATACAGACAGAGGCACTGACACTAGATAAGCCCAAAGTTTAGTTTATAAATGTCCAATCTAATCCTCATTAGAGGTAGACATTTTGTTTTGTTTTTTTTTTTTGAATCCTCACCCGAGGACATTTCTCCATTTTTTGCACAGATAGAGTGGGAGGGAGAGAGAGGGAGAGAGAGAGAGAGAAACATCGATGTGAAAGGGACACATCGAGTGGCTGCCACCCGCACGACCAACCAGGGCCGGGGACAAACTGCAACCGAAGTACGTGCCCCTAGCGGGAACCGAACCCGGGTCTCTCCGGACCACAGGCTGACGCTCTAACCGCTGAGCCAAACCGGCCAGGGCGACATTTTGTTTTTAATTGATATTTTAGAGAGGAGAGAGACATTGATGTGACAGAGATACATGGATAGCCTGTCTCCTGCACATCCTCTACTGGAGATAGAGCCCACAAACCGGGCATGTGCCCTGACTGGGAATCGAACGGGGACCTCTCAAGCCAAGGGACCATGCTCAATCCACTGAGCCATACTGACTGGGCCATGAGATGTATTTTAGAAAAGAGCTTGAATTTATTTATTTTTAATGGAAATGACAGCTAGCTGTAACTAGGTGAAATGGAACCTAAAGGACACCACTCATTCCTGAAAGCAGCAGTTAATGGAAGGGACGGCTGGGTTCTGGAAAGGGACTCAGCCAATACAGCAAGAACTATCGAGAGACCTACATTTGAATCCTGGCTCTGCTTTTCAGAGCTGTGCCTCCTCTGGAGCCTTAGGTTCATCAGTGGGGGACAATAATCACATCTACTCCATAAGGATATTGCTAGAATTAAATAATGGGTGTGAAATGTACAAGGCACAATGCCTGGCATGTGGAGCACATAATAAATATTAACTGTTATTAGTTCTTAGGATGCTAGTTAACAATAAGTTCTCTCCGTAAACAGGCCCTAGTGTAAATACAGTAAGTCTCAGTCCCAGCTCTTCAGGAGTCAAAACCTGGCGATTTTGCGCCCACGACAGTGTGAGAGTGTGAGTGTGAGAGTGTGCGCGCGCGCGTGTGTAATGCGTTAAGGTAGAAAAAAACTCCGTAAAGTGTCTCACGCTTCATTTAATCTGGAGAATATTACAGGCTCTTCGTCTTCGGATATAAGTTATTTATAACGTTACAGAACAAACAGCGAATCCAACCACTTAAAAACTAAGTCAGTCTACACGTGGTTAGTTTCTGGCAACAGTCTTCCCAATCTGGTTTTTCACAAAAGTCATCCCTGCCCCCATCTCAGTAGACGTGCACCATGCCATAGAGGAATGTCCAGAACAGGACGTAGGTGAACAGGCCTCCGATGAGACCTCCTGTAAAGAGGGGTCTTTGTGACTTAAAATACTTGTTCCACCTCCTTCCCGCCTTGAGAATTAGGAGCAGGGAGAGCAGGATGGAGGCGAGCAGGTAGAAGATGAAGCCGTAGAGGCCGGTGAGGCCGAGGATGCCGGCCGTGGCCCCCGACAGCGCCGACACCGAGGTCCGGCAGTAATCCAGGACCGCGGCGTTGCCGCGCACGGCTGCCTCGCTGATGAACGGCGGCCCTTCCCGCTTGGCCACCACAGCGGCCATCGCACCCGCCGGGGCTCAGCCTCTGCTTTCTCGCGGAGCTGCGGGGAAAACCAGGTTACAAGCGCAGCCCGGGGCTCGGCGAGTTGGGTTCACACCGCCCCTCCCCCCCGGGGCTTCCAAAACCTCGCACCACTCCTGGGTCTCGAACCTTCCAGGAATCTGAAGCTGAGGTTCGGGCCAGCCAGGGGTGGGGGGAGCGGCAGCACGTCTGCGTTCCCCTCCCAGGCTCGCTCGGTTACCTGGAACACAGACGGCGGCAGTCACTTGGCGTCCCCTCAGACAGTCAGGAGTATAGATCTCCGCGGCGCCATCTTGCTCTAGAGACTGCTGGGAGGGCCCAGGCTGCGCATGCGCAGGATGTCGCTCCCGCCCTCTAACGCATGCGCCGCGGGCGCCCCAAGCACGCTCCACCTCCTCGCCGCTTTACTACGCATACACAGGGACTTCCGAAAGCCGAACAGCGACCTGGAGGGCGATTGGCTGGAGATTTGTTAACTATTCATAAGGGGGCGGGCCGAGCCCGGCGGCCTTTGTTAACCAGAGGGCGCGGTCGCCGGGACTTTCGTTGCGGGCTTCGCTGGGCGGTATTTGGTTGCCAGATTGGGGTCGAGATGTCCTACATCCCGGGCCAGCCGGTCACTGCCGTAGTGGTAAGTGCGCTCGCGCGGGCTCCTCTGCGTCTTGTCTTGCTCCCACTTTGCAGAGCGACAAACTGACACCCCATACGGATTGGCACAGCGTCGAACCCGCGGCCACAGCTTCGGTCTCGGTTCCACCGCGGTCTCCCCAGCCGTGTAACAGAGAAGGCTGGGACTCGAGGGCCTCAGACTCTGGACCTAGCCAGACCCCGCGCACTGCCGTCGCCTCGTTCCACTCCTCCCAGCCGGCCGGGGCGGGCAGGACAGGAGAATGGCCGGGCTGTGGGAATCGAGTAAAGCGCCCAGGGCCTTCCCGGGCCAGTGATCTCAGCCGGGTAGCCGCGGGGCGGCGGGCGCGGGCCCGGACATCCGTGAGTCGCAGCCTCTGGAATGAGGAAATGCTTCCTCCACTCCAGTGGGCGCCGCCGCCCAGGAGGAAATCTGAGGGATGGAGGGGGCCGGGGCCTGCGTAGCTTTGCTTCCTCGGACTCACCACCGTCCAGTCCAGAGTGAAGGTTTATACAACTGTCTTGGTCCTGCTCGGAACTTTCCTGGGATTCCCAGCCCTTCGGGCAAAATCTGGGTACCCCGCCTGGCACTTGGGACCTGAAGACCCTTTGGAGTCAGCTCAGGCCCCTGGTTTTCCCCTTTCTTCCCCCGCTCCCCAGCTTGTCTTGGGTGTCAGGTGCAATAAGAATAATCAAAGGGAGGGAGGCTGGGACATTAGACATAGATGCCAATGTCACAGCTAGATAGGACCTGGAGGCCAGGAGGTGGGTGAGTGAGTCCCAGAGAGGTCTGGTTATGTCCAGCCATATAAAGCAGCCCTCAGGAAGGACCAAATGTGAGAAGAAATGTCTGTTGGGCAGGCATTGGGTCAGGTGGAAGTCCCAGCTCAGGGGTCATGGCTGCATTATCTCAGATGGGCCTGCCGGGAGTCAGCTGGTGTGGTGTGAAGTCACTGATAAAGGTGAGCTTAGAGCAGCAGCTCAGGTCTGGGCTAGGAGGAAACACTGCTGGACTTGCTGAGAGCTGTCCTTTCACTCTGGCTACACCAGCCTGACTTTCAGATCTCTAGCTGCCTCAGAGAGAAGGAAGGGGCTAAGCTTGCTCCTTAGCTAGAAAAAAAGGGGTGCAGGTGAGGAGCCAGAGAGGGGGCAATAACCTGCCTGATTTCACCCAATGAGTCAGTGACAGGGCCTGGTCTCCCAGTCCAAGGCCCTGTGTTCTTTTTGACCTGGAAGGTGGGTCAAAGGTATGCAAAGGTATGTGTCAGAGGAGGTGGAGCAGGCCTGGAGGAGCTCACTCTTAGGATCTAGGTCCATTAGGCCTCAGGGGTTGTTTCCTGCTCCCTTTTCCTCATGTCATGGCTCGTCCCTGGGCCTTCCTTAAAGCTGTAGGACCATGACCTCCCAATTCTTCTAACACATGTCTGAACATGGTGGGTGGGGTTTGGCCTCTTGTGTATTGGACTGCGGATGGGGTGGGGGAGGCTTCCTTCCTGGCCCTTGCTATCTCCCATGTAGTTAACATCTTGAGAATGTTAAAACATTTTGGCCTTTTAGAACTCTGGCTCCATAGGCCCATCTGCCTTCTGGATACCTGCCTGAATGGCACCTGGCACTCAAACTCTACATGCTTCTCCTCGAGGGTCTGAGATGGTTGTGTTCAGCCAGGCCAGGTGACCATATTCTCCCCTTGACTCCTCTGTGCCAAGTCTGCTCTCCTGGCCTCTATATCCCACCTCTGCGAGACATTCATTCCCCTACTACCTGAGTGGTCCTTCTACCATCAAACCTGATCACAACCAGCCCTACTTCCCAACACCTGAGACCTCCAGTGGGCCCAGAATAAAGGTCAGGTGGCCAAACTCCTGGTCACTCCCTCAAGTCCCGATGAAGTCACATTTTGCTTTTTTTTTTTTTTCTTCTTCCTGTTAAAACTCTCAACTTTTGCAGAGGGATGATCCAATCTGATTCCCATCATCTGGTGACTGAAGCATGTCTGCTGAGGGCTTTGAAAAGATCCTGGCACAGTTGAGGACCACAGCCCCAGATATGGTGGGAGAAGCCTAGGACTTGCTTCCACCTCCTACAGTGCACAAAAACAGGGCCTGGGCTTAGGGGGAAGCCCTCTCCATGGGGTCTAGTCTCCTGGGCCTGCATTTCATGGCCTTCCTGTCTGGCTCCAGCCTCACTTGCAGCCTCATCTCACCTCCCAGTTCTGGTCCTTTGCTGTACACCTGGGTCTCATTGACCTTTATCTACAGCACCTTTAAGCCTCTGTTCCTACTCCCTTGGCAAGGACAGCCCCTCATCTTTCTGTACGAGTTTCATCGCCACTTTTTCTCAGCATCTTCTGTCTTGCCCTTGCCTGGGCTGGCTCAGCAATCAATCTGCCTGCATTTTTTTCAGGGTCTGTCCCCTCCTGCCCTGTGTGATCCCTCCACTGGGATACAGGCCCCCATCCATAACAACCATAGCAACAGGGACTTAGAGCACATGTTGACTACAGCTGATGCCTGAGACAGAGGAAGGGGAGAAAGGTTGCGACAGAGGGTTGTGTAGGCGGGTTAATGTGGCTGAATTGAGTCTCAAGCCCCCAGCTTCCCAGGCTGGTGATCAGCTGAATTTTTGCAGAGGGCCCTGGTCCACATCCTCTTGGCATGGCTGAGCTATCACAGCAGCTTGAGGCTGCTGCAGGAGACACAGACCAGACTTGTTCTCCACCCCCTCCAACCCCAACTCATTTTTTTTCTTTGCCAGCAAAGAGTTGAAATTCATAAGCTGCGTCAAGGTGAGAATTTAATCCTGGGCTTCAGCATCGGAGGTGGAATTGACCAGGATCCCTCCCAGAATCCTTTCTCGGAAGATAAGACAGATAAGGTGAGGAGGACCAGGGTCCCGGGCCTCTCTGTGCAGCATAGAGGTCTGAGTTGGTGGGTCTCTGCTTTCTGGGTCTTTGCAGAAGGAGCAGACCTAATCTCTCAAATAGTCCTAAGAAGGTCTAAGAAGTGAATGATCTGGTGGCATTAAATAGGGGTGGCAAGTGGAAGGCCCATTTAGACAGAGTCCAGGAGCAGCAGTGACTGAAGCATCCCTGGGGCAGCCAGCTATTTCCTTGGCTGTCTTGGCACAGCCTGTGCTTGGGCTTGGGAGCTGGGAGTACGCTCGGTGCAGGGATGGACATATGGACGGCTGGGAATACATTGTGCTGGGCTTTGTTCTATGGATAAGGGGCCAGTCCAGTGAACCCAGGGCTTGACTTAGGCTGTCTGTTTCCAGGGCATTTACGTCACACGGGTATCTGAGGGAGGCCCTGCTGAAATTGCCGGGCTACAGATTGGAGACAAGATCATGCAGGTAACAGAAGTCCCAAAGGAGGAAATCAAGGCTTGGGTCGGAGGGACTGAAGCATTTGGAAGTGGGGCTGGGGTTGCCCTTGGCGCCTGGGGCAGTTGGGAGACTGACTAAAGCTTTTGGAACCCATGCTGACCTTGCTCCCAAAGGAAGCTGGCTGTCTTCTCTGTGTGTGTCAACTGTGGTGCTTGGCATCCCCCATTCTGGGGGCCATCAGCCTGGGGTCTGCTTGGGTAACCCAGGCTCCCCACAGCCCGTCCTACTTCTAGGTTCCAGAGGGTGGGGAGCTGAGGTGCCTGTATTCTCTTCCTGGGTCAGGTGAACGGCTGGGACATGACCATGGTCACACACGACCAGGCCCGGAAGCGGCTCACCAAGCGCTCGGAGGAGGTGGTGCGCCTGCTGGTGACGCGGCAGTCGCTGCAGAAGGCCGTGCAGCAGTCCATGCTGTCCTAGCAGCCCGCCAAGGTCCCGATTCGTGCCTGCCGCCTCTTTGTACAGTGACACTACTTCCACAGTCTGCCCCTCGTCCTGGCTTCTGCTGAGTGCTGGGTCCCCACTCGGAAGGGCAAGAGCTGGTCCCAGAGGCCTGACCTGGCCTTCCTTCCCCTCTCCCACCAGAGCCCGAGGCTCTGGGACCAGCTCTCCCTCGGACACTGAGGACTGGAAACAATGGCCTGAGTCTGTAGTGACCACAGGCTCAGCCCCCAGACCCTGCTGCCTGGTCTCAGCAATGCCCAGGTGAGCAGGAAGCCCCACTTCCTGAGAGTGGCCACAAAACTGAACAATGCCAGGTGCAGCCGGCCTTTCCCACACTGCCCTGGCTGCAGGGCTCGGCTCTGCCCTCGTCTCATCTCCCAAGTGCCTGTGTCCCACATTTTCCCCCGTTGCTCAGTAGGGATACGACACTGCCACAGGCACCATGAAGTGTGCCAGGATGGAAGCCAGGCAGGCTCACAGCTCACCCATCAACACCCTCACTCCTGAGGGGCGCTGGCCTTTCCAGGGTTCGTCTGCTTACGAGATTTAGATGAGGCTCGAGGCTGACATTTCGGCAGTCCTCAGGATTGCCATTGTCCCCTACGCCTGTGGGTTTAACTTTTGTATTTTTTTAATCACAACTTTGATACAAAGTGTTTTTATCTTACTATTTGGAGATGCCAATTCTACTTTTGAATTTAGTTTACTAATTCAATCTGGGAACGACTCTTAGCAAGTCAGTAAACCTTATTTTGGTAACTGTGGAGATGGGGCAGTATGAAGCCGCCCCACACCCAACATCTTGTGCCCAATAAATAGTGCTGGAATTCTCAGGGGGGTCTTTGCTGAGGTGTTGGGCTGGGGGACTTGGGGTGGATTATGGGGAGAGCTTCGTAAGGATGGCTGACCTGGCCCCAGCTGCTCTGGGATGAAGCCCCACTATTCTTAGGACCACCTGACATGTGCTTGGACGGGTCACGCCTATGGGAATGTGTGGAAGCACCTTCATTGGAAGTGGGGAAGGGAATCCCCAACTTCACTTGTGAACCTGATTTCAGTTCTCACCCAGGAGCAGCCTCATGGACACCAAGGAGCTCATGGGAAAAACACCCACGCCTTTAGACTCTTTTAATTCCTCGCCTAAGGATATTTTTCTTATTATCAGATAGAGTGGGAGGAAGGGGGAGAGAGACAGAAACATCGACATGATAGAGCCACATCGACTGGTTGCCTCCCACACGACCTGACCAGGGAGGGCCGGGGACGAACTGCAACAGAGGTATATGCCCTTGACCAGAATTGAACTCACGACTCATTGGTTTGTGGGCCGTCACTCTAACTGCTGAGCCAAACTGGCTGGGCCCCTTAGACTCTTAAGAGCACTCAGTTGATCCCAGCTAGGGATGCAATCCCAAGTTTCCAGGGACTGCCACCTGACAAGAGGGGTGAGCTGGGAGCTCCGGGGCCCCTGGTTGGCCTTCCATTGGCTGGCCCACCAGCTCTGGAAATTGTTGCCTCTCACGGACCCACCACCAAGTCAGATTTTCCAGATCTCCCATTTTTTCTTTTAGCAGGAGGGAGAAGGGGAAAAGAAAGAGAAAAATAACAATGTGAAAGACACATCAACTAGTTGCCACCCACACGACCCCAACCAGGACCGGGGACAAAGTGCAACCGAAGTACGTGCCCTTAGTGAGAAGTGAACCTGGGACTCTGGTCTGCGGGCCAACGCTCTCACTGCTGAGCCAAACCGGCCTGGGCCCAGATCGCCCATTTTTAAAGTGTGGCACCTGGTAACATGCTGGGTGGCCCAAATAAAATACAGGTGTGTGTGCTTGGTCAGGCAGCATTCCCTGATTTAGGAGAACAAGATCTTAAGTTCTTTGATATTTTTACACCTGGATAGAGGAAACGTCTGGAAGAGTCAGATACCCTTCCACTCCCAGTGGTGGCGTGCCCTTGAAGACCTAACCAACCCCTGCTCACAACCACAGCTAGAGCAGTGTGCCCTAGGCAATGCACACAGTGGGACCTGTGGGACACACCCGGCCCTGAGCAGGCAGGCGCCTTGCACCCGAGAGGGTTCCCCTGGTGAAGTGCCAGGTCGGCAGACTTCACAGCCCATTGTTTCCTCACACGAAGTGAGGGAGGCCGTCTCCCTAAGCCCCAAGTACTCGGTTCTGAAGCCAACACATGTGCCTCCCGCATCTGGTAAATGCTCAGAATACACAAGGAAACAGCCAGGTTTTAATTCGGGATCTAGGCCCCTCATTGATCTCGGAGTGAAGAGTTGGAGTGGACTGACAAACTCAAGGCATGTACAAGGCATGTCCTGGGGCCCTCCCCCTCCTGCCACAGGAAGGACCACAGGTTGAATTGGGATGGGATCAGGGCGGCCCGTGAGGATTGTGTGAGGCAGTCTCAAGTCTTTATCTGAGGCTCCCAGCCAAAACGTTGGTGAGTCTCAGATAGAAGTCTGGGAGAAGTGAGGGAAGGGAGGCCTGCCCTGCCCTCACCATCTGGCAGGTCAACAGGCCTCTAAGGCACGGATGGTGTGTGTGTGTGTGTGTCCTGCCCTCCAAACAGGGTAAGGAGCAGCTGGAGGGACTCGTCTGGGGCCCGGACTCGTCTGGGGCCCTGACTCTAGGAAAGTGGAGGTAGGCAGACAGCCACTCCCAAAACACCCCTCCAAAAAATCCAAAAGGGGTGTTAGTGTGATGAAAATCCAGAAGGTATTGGGCCTGAGTCCAGTTCAGAACCAATCTGTTGGATACTAAAGACCCAGAAGTCTTTTCCTTCAGAGAAGGGACCCTAAGGCCTGACCCCAAAGTCCTGGCCCTCTGCCACCAGCACCAGCACCTCTCAGTCCACGGGCCACAGCACCTGGCTGCTTGGTCTCTGGGAATACAGCAGTGCCACCAAAGTGCCCTTGGCTCTCCCAGCTGCAAGGTCAGTCCTTCAGGCTGCTCCCAGAAACGCTGGTTGCCTGGGGCAAGGCCTTCTGCTCCCAGCTCCGCGTCCAGTCCTGCTTGGGATGGCTGTCAGGACCTGTGGGCGCTGCCTGTAGCCTTAAAGAAAATAGAGACGGCAGCCTCAAGTGGCAGGAGGGCCAGATCACTGGCCAGTAAGACGCGCGAGGGGCCGCCAGCAGTGTGGCTTTCAATCTTGGAGCAGAGTCTGGTGTCTGTCCCAGAGGGAGGTCTCTCCCCAGCCCTGGAAATCCTGGACAAAGGCAGGCTGGTTTGTGTTTAAGGCATCTGGCCCCAAGGAAGAGAACGCTTCTCCACTGCTGGCACACGGAGCCAGCCCTGCGCTCCAGACCGCTTCTCCAGCCTTCCTGGTGGGCCCAGGGCCCAGGGCCCAGGCCATTCACACTGGGGCCCTGGTGCTAGTGCACCTGCTCATACCCGGGTTTCTTTTTGTACAAGCAGAAGTGCTGGATGAAGAAGACAACATCAAAGAAGATGGAGAAAATGCCGAGTCCAAACTTGGTTGGGTCTCCAAAGATCAGTGTCCACTGGTCTGTAAACAGCCAGAGAGGGTACAGAATCTGGTTTTAGGTTGGCAGCTTGTGGGGCTGTGGAGGGTGGGGATCCTCACCTGCCCAGGAAACCACAAACCCTCCAGCTGCAAATGCCCCAGGTGATCTGGGGGCTGGGACTGCTTGGCCTCCCCAGCTGTGAGGCTCGGGGCTAGCCTCCCCCCACCACCCGTCTTGTGCCCCCGGCCCACCGCTGATGGACTCACCATTGTTGTAGGACTGGAGGAACATCTGGAGGAGGCTGAAAGAGCCCCCAGTGAAGTCCAGAAGCACGTTGCCAATGCTCCAGCCCTCAGTGCTTTTGTAGACAAAGTTCATATAGGCCTGGGCAGGCAGACAAAGAGGGCGGTGAGGGGGCTGGGTGGCTGCCTCATGCACCTTGTGACTGCCACTCCAAACAAGCTGTTTCCTCCCACTGTGTCCGGCCTCTGCTCCAAGGAACACAGTGGCCTTTGGGCTCTGACAAGCCTTGGCAGAGAGCAGTTTGGATGGTCCTGGGGCCCCCCTCCTCCCATCCTGTACCACACCACTCCAGTGGAGGGAGGCTGGCATGCGGCTCCGCTCCTCCATCTTCATCCCTCCCCGTCTGGGACAAAGCCCTATTGTGGTTTTCCAGCCACTTGGAGTTTTCTCCTCATCAGTGAAGACTCTCCCCAAACAGCCCAGACTTTGTGCTGTGCTTGCGAATCTGAGCTGGGAGTCCGATGCCTGGTTCGGCACACCAGCTCCGCCACCGGATGTTACCTTGGGAGGATTACCCGAGTTCTCCCAGCCCTGGTTTCTCCACCTGTAGAGGGGGCTGACCTCCTAGGCCCCAACCCTGGCTGGGCTCCGAGGTCTGGCTCAGGCTTCCCAGTCTAATGGGTGGATCCACTCAGACCCCCCTCCCCTCTTTCCTGCTGCCAGTGCCCCACATCCTGGGTTTCTGTGACTTGGCCTCCGTAGTGGTCTTCTCCCAGTCAGCCATCAGCCAGGTCCCCTTTCTTGCCCCCCCCCCCCCCCCCAGTCTTGGATGTTTCGGACATTTCCAAATCGGGTCTCCTGACTCCCAGGTTTCCCAGCCCCAAGCTTTCCCACATTCAGGGATGGAGGCCGCACTTCCCTTAAGACTTCACCCCACCCCAAAGCCTTCTCCTCAAGCCCCTGGTACCCGGCACCACATCCCTTTAGCTCAACACTGCTCAGCCAGCAAGGCCTCCTCGCTGCCCGCGCATTCTGCCTGTGCCTCGGTGTGGGCTGCCCCTAGCCTGAACGCCCCTCCTCTCGTGTCCACAGGATCAGTCCTGTTTATCCTTAAGGGTCTAGCTCTGTTTCCAGACCCTCCAGGAGACTGGCTGACTCTGGCCAAAAATGCTGAGCCCTTAAACACAAGGTTCCCTGTGCTGCAGGGCTGAGGAAGGGACTGCTCCACTGAGAAGGGGGTGAGTTAAACGAGGCCTCCACTCATACGTGGAGCCTGCAGTTGGCCCTTATTTCACATATGAACCTGTTCCGGGCCGTTCCAGCTATGGGGAAAGACATGTTTGACTCTAAGACCCGGGTCTGAACAAGCCTGAGGACTTGAGGGTGGTTGCTGAGGGTCCACAAGGAAGACCTGGATGGGACCTCCGAGAAAAACATCTCTGGATGGGAGGTGGAGGTCACAGTGGCGGGCTCTCTCCTCCCACTGGATCTTTCCCTGCTGCTGCTCGTCGGGAAGTCAGTTGTGGTAACGGGGGCAGAACTGAAGTCAGGAGCAAAGCTGGGATGGGAATGGGAGTGACTTGCACAACCCTGGACTCAGAGCCAGTGTGAGCACAGACAAGTCTCCACTGAGGTCTTGTGATTCCGGCTCCAGGGGAAGCAGGCAGCGGGAACGGCCAGAATTCACCCAGCCCTGCTCCTGCTGCCCCGTGGCTTCCACTGCGGCTTTCCCCCCGTCTCCTCGCCCAGCCGCAGCAGGACCCGGGCTCTGTGTCTCAGCCCCCATTCTAATGGCCACGTGAACAGTGAGGACGGCCCTGAAGGTACCTGTGGGAAATACTTGACCAGCGTCACCGCCAGCTTGATGTAGGAGAAGAAGAAGAGAGACTGCAGCCACGTGGTTACCCCAACTACGGCCAGAATCATGGCGACGAGTGCGAAGAGCCACGAGAGAACCAGGAAGCCCACGGCAGGCCAGGACACACGCTGGTTGCCTCGCTGAGGACGAGAGAGGGTAGGTAAGTGGGGTGTGGGTGAGGGAACAAGGACCCCAACACCAGCAATACCCTTGTTACTATCGGGGCCTCTAGTTCAGTCCTTCTTGGAATTTCTGGAGCCCATTTGCTTCTTGTTTCCACAAGGCACAACTGGGTGCCCCTCAGAGCCCCCCAGGAGCGGAGGGTGTTGGGGACGGAACCCAACATCTCATCCCAGCCCGGGCTTGTTCCATGATGCAGAGGGAGCCTGGTCATCTCTGGAACCTGTCCCCTACGCAGTACTACCTTTCCCTGAAGGCCGCCTTCACCCAAGCGTCACAGCAGAGTAAGAGAACCCAGGAGGTGGGGCCCAAGCAGCCCGACCTAACAACGCCCTCTCCGGCCGAAGCACCACACAGATGACCCTCCGGCAGCACTGCTGAGTCCAGACAGTTCAGACCTCTCCGGACCCTCATGAGCCTACTCCCCACACTGGCACCCTGAACCCCACCTACCCCCTTCGGCTCATGATTCCTCTTATTGCCCCTTGGCCTTCATAGTTCTGTCCCCCAGCTTGGGGTGCCCTGCCTTGGCCCTTTTCCCGAGGGCCACGGAACCTTTAGTCACCCCACTGACTACCCTAAACATCATTTCCTTGATGTCCTCCTTCCCCCTCCTCGCTGGTTGGGCCAGGCCTCCAAGAGCTGCCATGTTCTCCCCTCCCCCTCAGCTCTCAGCCTGCCGGGTCATCACTGCCTGTGTCCCTCACCCCAGACCTGGGGCTGGGGGGTACAGCCTGGGGCATAGGGTGGTCCCTGTGCCCAGCACAAGGCCTCGCCTGTTATCTTGGCCCCATTGAGCAGATGCTGAGTGAACATGTCTTTTCTGAGGGTCACCGCGTCTTCCATAGTAAAACAGCAGGTGGGTGGCAGGTGGTGGTGGTGGTGGGTGCTGGCCTGGCAGCCACAGGGGGCAAGTGACAATTTCCTCTCTCACCTCATATAGGAGGCACTGCAGTAGGACAACCAGGGTGAGAGCGACGGCATGCAGGCTGAAGAAGACATCGTTACTCTCCACGGGGTTCACTCCATTCGGGTATTTGAGGAAAAACTGCTCCTGTTAAGGGGTTGTGGAGAAGCTGAGGAGTGAGGGGCAGCCACGCCACTGAACAGCGTGGACCGGGCTGTGGTGGGTGGACAGGGCCATACCTTGATGTGTGACACCCAGAAGAGGCCGATGTTGAACACGCTGTAAGCCATGAAGCCCGTCAGGTTCAGGGCAACAAAGTCGAAGCTCAGACCAACAACACTGTGGGGTGGGGAGATGGAGACAAGGTGGGGCAGGAGGTGGGACTGGGCCAGTGAAGGCATGGGAGGGGCAGAGCTCCCAGTACTTGCCAGAAGGGAAGGAGGGCCCGGCTCCCCCAAGCAGAGCACTGGCCTCAGGTCCCCTTCATGCCACTATTGATGCCACCAATCCACCCTCTTGGGAACTGTTTCCTCCTGCCTGAAGTCCTGGCCCCAGAGGGAAGTTTGGAGCCTCCTGCAGAAAGGAGGCATCTCCCTCCCTGGCTCCCAGCTCAGCAGCCCTTCAAGAGGGCCATATGGCTAGGGTGACCGCAGAAAAGCTTGTGTCCTTGCTGCCTGAAGACACCATCCCAGGCCCACGTTGTCCTCCCTCCCTTCTATTGTAACAGACAGACAATATCCTATTCATTTTCAGGAGCACATCATAGTAATTTGATATTTATATACTTTACGAAATGATCCGCACAATAACTCTAGTTACCGTCTGTCACTATATTACTGACATTTCCTGTGCTACACATCACATCCCCATGACTTACTTTTCAACTGGACGTTATAATCCCCTTCACCGATCTCACCCACTCCCCAAAGCCCCCTGCCCTGGTAACCACTAGTTTGTTTCCTATGTCTGAGTCTGTTTCTGTTTTATTTTTAGATTCCATGTTATAAGTAAAATCATTCAAGTGTTTCTTTTTTTTTTCTGATTCATTTCACTTAGCATACCTTCTAGGTCCATACATGTCAAAAATGGCAAGATTTCATTCTTTATTATGGCCAAGTAATGTTCCATCATATTAATGTACCACATCTTTTTTTTTTTTTTTTTAAGTCCTCACCTAAGGGTATTTTTCCATTGATTTTCAGAAAGAGTGGGAGGGAGAGAGAAACATCGATGTGAGAGAGACACATCGATTGGTTGTTTCCCGCACTACCCCAACCAGGGCTGGGAATCAAATCACAACCGAGGTAGGTGCCCTTGACCAGAATTGAATCCATGATTCTTTGGTGCACAGGCTGATGCTCTAACCACTGAGCAAAACCAGCCAGGGCAATGTACCACACCTTTATCCATTTATCTATCAATGGACACTTAGGTTGCTTCCATATCTTGGTTATTATAAACAATTCTGCAATGAACCTAGGGATTGCATATTATCTTTTCAAATTAGTGTTTTTGTTGTCCTCAGATAAATACCCAGAAGTGGAACTGCTGGATCATATGGTAATTCTATTTTTAATTTTTTGAGGAACCTTCATATAGATTTCCATAGTGGCTGCATTATTTTAAATTACCACCAGGGTGCCTGGCCAGTGATGCTCAGTGGTTGAGCATCAATCCATGCACCAAGAGGTCGCCGGTTCAATTCCTGGTCAGGGCACATGCCCAGGTTGTGGGCTGGATCCCTGATGGGGGGCATGCAAGAGGAGGCCAACTGATGTTCTCTCTCTCTCTCTCTCAAATCAAGAAAGAAAAAAAAGCCCTGGCCAGTTTGGCTCAGCGGTTGGAGCGTCGGCCTGCGGTACAGAGAGACCCGGGTTCGGTTCCTGCTAAGGGCATGTACCTCGGTTGCAGTTTGTCCCCGGCCCTGGTTGGTCGTGCGGGTGGCAACCACTCGATGTGTCCCTTCATATCGATGTTTCTCTCTTTCTCTCTTCCTCTCTCTCCCTCCCACTTTATCTGAACAAAAAATGGAAAAATGTCCTCGGGTGAGGATAAAAAAAAAAAAAAAAAAAGAAAGAAAAAAAAAAATGCCACCAGTGTATGAGGGTTCTCTTTTCTCTACATCCTTGACAACACTTATTTTTTGTGTTTTTGATGACAGCCATTCTGACAGGTGTGAGGTGATATCTCTTGGTTTTGATTTACATTTCCCTGGTGATTAGTGATGTTGAGCATCTTATCATGTGCCCGTTGGCCATCTGCATCTTTGGAAAAATGCCTATTCAGGTCCACTGCCCATTTTTTAAATCAAGTAGTTTACATTTTTGATAATAATTATTATTACTATTATTTTTATCCTCACCCGAGGACATTTTTTGTTCAGGTAGAGTAGAAGGGAGAGAGAGAGAGATAAACATCGACGTGAAAGAGACACATCGAGTGGTTGCCACCTGCACGACCCAACCAGGGCCGGGGACAAACTGCAACCAAGGTACGTGCCCTTACGGGAACCGAACCCGGGTCTCTCCAGACCACAGGCCGATGCTCTAACCGCTGAGCCAAACTGGCCAGGGCTGATAATTATTTATATAAGTTCTTTGTAGATTTTGGCTATTAACCCCTTATTAGGTGTATGACTTGCAAATATCTTCTCCCATTCAATAGGTTGCTTTGTTTTGTTGGTTTCCTTAGCTGTGCAAAAAGGTTTTTAATTTTATGTAATTCCATTTGTTTATTTTTGCTTTTGTTGATTGAAAAGACATATCCAAAAAAATATTGCTAAAACTGATGTCAAAGAGCTTAGTGCCTGTTTTCTTCTAGGAGTTTTATGGTTTCAGGTCTTACATTCAAGTCTTTAATCAAAATGATTTAGGACAGTGGTCCAGTTTCGGTCTTTTGCATGTAGTTGTCCAGTTTTCTCAACACCATTTATTGAAGAGACTGTCTTTACTTCTTTTTAAAAAATCTTCACCCAAGGATATGTTTTAATTGATTTTTAGAGAGAGAAGAGAAACATTGACTGCTTGCCTCCCATACAGGCCCCAACCAGGAATCAAACCTGCAACCTTCTGGTGTATGAGACAACACTCTAGCTAGGGGCCCATTGTATATTCTTTCTTTTTTTAAAATGTTTTTTTAATTGATTTTTTAGAAAGGGAGAGATAGGAACATGGATGTAAGAGTTACATCAATTGGCTGCCTCCTGCATGCCCCCTACTGGGGATTGAGCCTACAACCTGAGTACGTGCCCTGACTGGAAATCAAACCGGGACCTCTCAGTCCATGGGATGATGCTCAATCCACTAGTCACACCAGCCAGGCACCACTGTATATTCTTGACTGCTTTGTCATAGATTGACTGTGTATGTGTGGGTTTATTTACAGGCTCTCTATTCTATTCCATTGATCTACGTATCTGTTTTTGTGACAGTACCATGCTGTTTTGATTACTATAGCCTTGTTGTATAGTTTGATATCAGGGAATGTGATACCTCTTCTTTCTCAAGATTGCTCTGGATATTTGGGGTCTTTGTGGTTCTATACTAATTTTAGGATCTTTGTTATAGATCTGTGAAAAATACCATTGATAATTTGATGGAGTTTGCACTGAATCTGCAGACTGCTTTAAGTAAATAGGGACATTTAAACAATATTAATTCTTCCAATCCATAAGCATGGTATATTGTTCCATTATTTGTATCTTTATCAATGTCTTTCATCGATGTCTTACAGTTTTCAAAATACAGGTCTTTCACCTCCTTGGTTAAATTTATTCCTAGGTATTTTAATTTTTTTGATGCAATTGTAAATGGGATTGTTTTCTTAATTTCTCTTTCTGAAACACTATTATTAGTGTATAGAAACACAATGTGGATTTCATTTACATATAGTCTAGGTGCCTTTTAAGTAACTGTTTTTTTTCTGTGCCCCAGGGTGGGTCAGCCCTTGCACAGGCCCCTCAGTAATACACCTCCCTGTTGCAGATCTCAATGTTGTCAGGGGATGGGATTCCCTTGTTATCATGTCTCCATCTCTCCTACCCTTCTGTATGTGGTCCCTCTATCCTTTGTTGTGCAGAAACTGTTCAATAGGCCCTTAATTCTTAGCAGGAACTGTTCTATGTGTAGGCGTATATTTGGTATGTCTGTGGGAGGAGGCAAGTTCTGGGTCTTCCTACACCTACATCTTGGCCTCGCCTCCCACTCTATTTTTAAAATCAAGGTGGATAGGCTCAGTCTCCAAGGCTGAAGGATCCACACTTGGCACTGGAGAATGACTTGACACTAATTCCTCCAGGGCTGGGTGGACCAAGATGAGAGCATATTTGGGTGGACTTCACCCCCACCCAGCCCATTCTCCACTTCACTGAGAAGCCCCATTTTGTTGCTTTCGCAGGGAGGAGCTGAACTGGGCAAGAGACAAACGGCCCAGCAGTACAAGTGCCACCACAGGCTCTTAGAGCTTTCACATCAACTTTCTAGAAAGGGCAGGAAGGGAGATGAGCAAAGGGGGAAAGTCTGAACCCATGCTACCTACAGCTCACTGCAATGCCCATCACAGGAACCAAATGAACCTGCACATACAGCTCAGCAGATTACCTCTTCCGCCTCCAGTTCATGATCACCTGAGGATAGAAGGAGATGGACCAGGCTGCAAAGTAGATCCAGCCAATCACCTGGTTTATGATGTTGATGATGTTGCTGTGGATCACCAAGAAGCGTATCCTTGGGCTAGAAAGAATTTGGGGACCAGGATGAGCTAAGGCTGGGTTCCTGAAGGAAATCCTCACGTGCCCAGCACTGCCTCCCTTCTCATCATTTAAGCCCCAGCTTACCCAGTTTGGTTGGAATGATTTCCATGCAGAAAAACAGTAAGTTGTCCCACATTTTGAGATGTCACTTGAAAAGATGACTCTGTCACTCTGGGAGGCACCACAACCTATTAGGAAAACTGGATTTGACCCAGTGCCATGTATTTATTGGGACCTCACTGAGTCCTATGTTGCCGGCTATACACTAGGAAATGTAGGACAGATCACACAGGGTTCCTGCCTTTCAGGAACTTACTAACAAAAGGGAGAAATATTGGACCAACCAGCTAACTGGAACCCCTCATACACCAGTGTGCTAGACTTTCTGAGCAGAACACGGTTCTGCCCCCAGGCCCACCCCTGGCTTATATCTCTGAGGAAAGGTGGGATGGCTCTCTTCCTCTCACTAGCCATGAGATCTGGGGATCAAGCTGGACCTCAGAGAGCTGAGTGCCAGAATGTACTGTTAGAACCAATGGCTTCTCTTAGCCTGTAGCAGGCCTTACACCCTGGGGCGGAAGCTGTGTCTAATGATGTGTGATGTTCACCATGGGATGAGATGAGATTCTCTTCTCATATAAGGTCCTTCTAGGTGAACACTCTTTTTTCTTTGGTTATTTCTCACCTGAGGATATTTTTCCCACTGATTTTTAGATTGGGGGGGCATAGATGTAAGAGGGACACATCAATGGGTTGCCTCCCGTAGGACCCGGACTGGGATGGGGATCGAACCTGCTACCCAGGTACGTGCCCTTGACAAGGAATCAAACCCATGACCCTTCAGCCCACAGGCTGATGCTCTGACCACTGAACCAAGCTGGCTAGGGCCTAGGTGAACACTCTTTATTTGACCATGCTTCCATACGGTTTGCTTGCTAAGGGGATCAGAGCCAGTTTGCACTCCATTTGTACAACCATGCAGGGCCTCATGACATGCCTTATTGTCATCAATTTCATCCCTGTATTCATTTTGTCTGGTTTTTTAAAACCCTCGTTAACTCTATACTGCCTCCCCTATTGACCTTTTTTTAATCTAAATTTTTCAGTGATTGGCTCAAATCCTTGTTAAGGCAGAAACAGGATATATATAAACAAACAAATGCATTGGGGACTATGAACAGTTATTGCTGTGATACCAGGAAGACTGTGGCACGAGTTTTAGGAAATCTCCGAACAGTGCTTTGCAAACTTTAATGTGGACCCACACCAACCAGGGATGTTGTTCATATGTAGACTTTGAATCGGTAGATCTGGAATGGGGCCTGAGATTCTGCATTTCTAAAAGGTTTTCAAGCAGGGACAATGCTGCTGGGCCACGAACGCCCTTTGAGTAGCAAGGTCTTAGAAAAACTATCTTAAGAGTTTCTTCTACACCCTCAGAACCATTTTTTTGCCTCCAATTTCTTACCATCACCTTCCTAATTCCATCTACACTGCATAAAATGCTCATCCTCAAAGAGATCAACAAAGCCAAAATTAGAGATTTCTATAATGATGGGACAGGGGCAGCCCATGGTATAAAAACAAAGTGGCCGACGTCCAGAAGCACTTGAATTAAAATGTGTTGTTACCCGGCAGTTCTGTACCCATCAGTTAAGGTTCATTACTTACTTCATCAGGGAGCTCAAGGATAGTAATATTTTTTGAATGAAATGTGATTTCAAAAGTGATCACCAAGGACGCATTTAGTGGATGCCTGTGGAGGACAAGAGTCTGGTTACTACTGAGAAGCTGGACACTGTGAGATCTCAACCCACCTTCTGGATTTTGCACGGGGCTTGTCATTTCTCAAGTAGTTAGGGTGAGGAAGTGCCATGTGCTCAGCTGGAGGGGTTGAGAGGTGGGCTCCCTGCTCCTTTATCAGGAGAGATGTCCCGCGGGCTGGGTGAGAACATGAGAAGGGGTGACAATGGCTGTGAGGACCAAAGAAGGTGTCCAGAGGCTGGCAGGACCACATCTGCTCTGGTGGGAAAGGCTTCTGAGAGGACTCAGGTCTGAGCAGAGAACAGCATGTCCCCAGAAAGCCATGAGATATGTCTGACTGGGAGCAGTTCGTGGGGCCTCAGGGCTGGACTTAAGCCTGGAGTTAATTTGGAAGGCAGTGGAAAGCCACTCAAGGATTCTGGAGAGGGGAGAGTGGTGGTGAGGGGATCACATATGAGATTTACAAGGTGTCCATGTGCAGAAGTGGCAGGGGCTAGAAATGGAATGCAGGTCTGTTGAGGAGCCTTGGTACCAAAGCTTTGGCTTGAGGACGAATTTCCCAGGAGAGGTGAGGAGAGGGAGAAGGAGAGAGAGAAAAGGACAGGACTCCAGACCTTCATCTACAGCAGTGGTTCTCAACCTTCCTAACGCCGCGACCCTTTAATACAGTTCCTCATGTTGTGGTGACCCCCAACCATAAAATTATTTTTGTTGCTACTTCATCACTGTAATTTTGTTTTCTGATGGTCTTAGGCGACCCCTGTGAAAGGGTCATTTGACCCCTAAAGGGGTCGTGACCCACAGGTTGAGAACTGCTGATCTACAGGAAGGAATCCTCGTGACTGGGAGGCAACAGGAGAGCGAAGCAGTGAAGGGTACAGAAGAGGGTGGCTCTCTGGCCATCTGAACTAGGGCGGCACCCTTGGGGCTGAACCAGCAGAGGTCAGCAAGAAAGACTCTCAGACAAGGCCAAGTGTGAGAGTCGCACAAGTGGGATCCAACAGATGGAGTCACTTCTGCTTTTTGAAGTGATCTAAGTGCTTGTCTGGCTGGTGTGGCACAGTGGTTGAGCATCGACCCATGCTCCAAGAGGTCATCAGTTTGATTCCCGGTTAGGGCACATGCCCAGGTTGTAGGCCCGATCCCCAATGGGGGGCATGCAGGAGGTGGCCAGATGATGTTCTCTCTCTTCGACGTTTCTCTCTCTCTCTCTCTCCCTCTCACTTCCTTTTTCTCTAAAATCAATAAAGGCAAAAAAGTTTTTATAGAAGTTAAAAAAAAAAAAAAGTGCTCAGCTCCTTACTGCCCAACCTTCAGGGCTCTCCTCAAATACTTAGAGCCTTGGAAAGGACCATTTTGAAGTCTGGCATCAACTGCTGGTCACTCAAGGGCTCTTCTCAGCTGGGGAAAGGCTCCTGACTCTGGAGAGAAGCCTCCATCCTGCTCCTCCCACCGGAAACAAGGATTCAGCGGATGGGGAAAAAGACTCTGGGACCTCGGTCTGCTGCCCAGGACAAGCGCCTCTCTTTCTTGGCTTCTCTTAAAGTGAAGAGGCAAAAACATCACACTTGAAAGATGAACAGATTGAGCCAGCTATGGGGTGAACAAGCTGGGCTGAGGACAGCACTAGGCCTGGGAACTTACTGAAGGGTGATGCTGACATTGGCTGAGCTTCCATTCTCCAGCACCACAGTGGGAGGAACAGCAAGGTTGACCGTCGACTCTGGAAGGACCCAAATCAATGGCATTAGTTATTCGGTCAGAGAACGTAGGCCCCAAGGAGATGTCTGAACTCATGATAACCCCTATGTTCCAGGTCAGTGGTTCTCAACCTTCCTAATGCCGCGACCCTTTAATATAGTTCCTCATGTTGTGGTGACCCCAACCATAAAATTATTTTCGTTGCTACTTCATAACTGTAATTTTGCTACTGTTATGAATTGCCATCGGAAATGTGTGTTTTCCGATGGTCTTAGGCGACCCCTGTGAAAGGGTTGTTCAACCCCCAAAGGGGTCGCGACCCACAGGTTGAGAATTGCTGTTCTAGATGATGACATGGAGGTTCTGAGAAGCTAAGTGATGGGACTGAAGCCCTTGTTATGCAGTGTCACCTACTGCCATTGACAGAGGGAGATACAGGCCCGAGTGGAGACTGCTAGCTTCCTCCCTGACGAGACAGGCCCTGAGGGTATGTGGCTGAGTTACACAGAGATAATTTTAGAACCACAGAGCCCCAAACTGTCACAAAGCAATTCAAGTCATGATCTGGGATCGAAAAACGTGGATGTGAACTACATCTTCGGATGGAAATCACAGGAGTCTCGTTTGTGGAGCTTAAATGGCCCTGCAGAACTGGCCCAGCCCCTTCTTGTACTCAGACACATGGGGTCCAGCTAACCTGTTTCTCAAGAACCCTTCTGGGCCCCCATACAAGCCCAAACCCAAACCCAGCTCCACTCATTCACTGCTGCCCTTCCTGAGGCTGACTGCTGGGGACTGGGGGAGACTGATGAACAAGACAAGCTGTTTCATTCTCCGAGAACTTGGCACTGAGGTGTTTGCTCAGGTGAAGGTAGACAAATAGGCCTCCAGGATGAAGGAAGAAGAGGTTTGCCCCAGGGCAATTTGACCACAGAACACCAGTCAGCCCTCTCTGACCTTTTCCTTTGTTCTTAGGGCAGCTCCCACCCGCCCCACCCCTACTCCCAGGTGTACTCAAAGTTCCAGGCATCCGTCCACCTCACCTCCCTTACCTCAAGGCCTTCAGAATTACACACAAAGTGTGACCATGAATCTAGACCAGAAGTGCAAGGGGGCCCACAAGCAAACACTCAACTTCATGGAGGTGGTCCTTGTTGGGCAGCGGCTGCAGGCAGGGCCCAGGTCTCTCTCTCCTCAGACCCGTGAAAGGCAGAAGATGAAGAACTGAAATTCTAGATGCTCAGGTTGGAAGGGCACTTAGAAGTTCTCTGCTGTCTGCTCCCCCTTCTCAGTACTCCTACCTGGCAGTGTGTCTTCCTCTGCTGGACACCGAGGGAGAGTAACACCATCTCCTCCAAGGGAATGGGCCAGTCTGGAACTTGCACTCCTGGAACTGGCTCTGCTACCTGGAACCTCTCAGACCCTATCTGAGCCACCTCCCCCATGCAAACCCTGCATGCGTGAATGCAGACACAGACTATGTCCTCCGCGTCCACAGGTATCCAAGCGGACACCCACTAGGGTCCCTCTGAGTGGCATGTCCTCACCCTGGCCCTTGCAGAGGCCAAGCTACTCAGAGCAGAGTAGGAAGGTCCTGTTATGTGTAGCCTCAGGGATTGGAGGCAGCTTTGACAACTCCACCTCTTCTCTCTGTCTGGACCACAGGCAACGACCGCTGAGCCAAACCGGCCAGGGCTCCACCTCTTCTCTCATAAACAGCTTGTGGCTTTGTTCTAGGCTTGCACAGCTGGGGTAGGTCCCTGCTGTTACTTTCTACCTAGAGCTGAGGACTATAACAGGTAAGCAATACTGTGACAAGACAGTACCTAGGACAGGGATGCTGAAAGTGATGCCAGGCAGCCACCAACACCTCTGGGTCCCCCAAGGCTCTGCTGGGGCTGTGGTCAGGGAGATTCCCATGGTCTGTGCTCTTCCACCATCTTCACATTTTAAAAAGAGAGGCTGTGGCTTGGCCAGTGTGGCTCACTGGTTGAGCATTAGGACCCAAGAGGTTGCCTGTTCGATTCCTGGTCAGGGCACATGTCCAGGCTGTGGGCCCAATCCCCAGTGGGGGGCATGCAGGAGGAGGCCAACCGATGTTCTCTCATTGATGTATCTATCTATCTCTCCTTCTCCCTTCCTCTCTCTCTAAAATCAATAAAGAAAAATATTTAAAATAAACAAATAAATAAAAAGGCTGTGAACTCTCAAAGAGCCAGATCAAGGGATGTTTACTTCCTTCTCCCTTAGTGCCACTGAAGACAGTGGTGCTCAGCAGCTGAGAGACTAGGCTCTGAAGTCAAACAGATCCATCCTGGCTCTGTCACTTCCTAGCTGTGTGACCATGGATAAGATACCTAACCTATCTGAGCCTCTGATTCCTCACCTATCAAATGGGGAGAACAGTGCTACCTATCTCACAGGGCATCGTAAAGATAAAATGGTGATGTCTGTGACTTTCCACATGGCCTGAGTGATAAATAATTGCTTTTGACTATTCTTTTTAAAAAATTATTATTATTTTTTATCCTCACCCGAGGACATTTTGCATTTATCTTTCAGATAGAGTGGGAGGGAGAGAGGGAGGAAAAGAGATAGAGAAACATTGATGTGAGAGAGACACATCGAGTGGTTGTCACCCACACAACCCCAACCAGGGTGGGGACAAATTGCAATGAAGGTATGTGCCCTTAGCAGAACTGAACCCGGATCTTTCTGGTCCGTCAGACGACGCTCTAACTGCTGAGCCAAACCATCCAGGGCTGCTTTTGACTATTCTTAACATCATGTACACAAGGCAGGATATTTTTTTTTAGCTCAAGATGGGAGTCAGTTAGGAAGCAGGCATCATATCCTGGGAAAGTACTTTTTAAAGTTTGCCTTGGGGCAGCAGTCTCTGGACACAACATTAGAATTACCAAGTGAGTCTTAATGAGACCACCCTAAGTTTCCTCTAAGGAGAGTCCATTTTTTTTTTAAGCTAATGCTTACTGGCATCCCCTAGGGTGCTCCCCACCCCACACCAGCCACTCTGTTACAATGTTAACTCACATTCTCTAATAATTACACTAAGAGGTGAGCATTATGATTCCTATTTCAGATCTAAGAAACTGAGAATCCCAAGAGGGTGTCTTGTCCACACAGCTCAGAAATGGTGGTGGCAGGATTCAAACCTAGGCCTGTCTGGTCTAAAGCCCAGGTTTTGGCTCCTTGTAAAACTCCTGGACCCCAGACCTGGGTCTGCTCCACCACTCAGTGTCTACGTGATCAAGGGCCAGGCAAGTAGACACAGTCTGGGCAGCCCTAAATCCTCCGCTACAAACAGGTCAGGCTACTTATTCTATAGCACTACTTCCCTCTTTACAAAGTTGATGACCCATTTCTAAACTTACCACATTTCTCTATGAGCTTCAGGAGAAAAAAAATAAAAATAATCAGCCAACTCCTTATCATGTTCCTTGATTTCAAAGAACTAGGAAGAAAAACAAATAGCAAGAGAAGTTACAGTTGGATCAGCTCAGTGGCAAGTGGACAGCATGCCCCCTGGAATCATGGCATGTACAGTTCATAAAGGACTTTCACTTCACCCCTGTGACCTCACCGGCTTTTCATCACCGGCTAGGAGAACAAGACTGGAGAACAAGACTCCAGGGAGGGCCCATTTCATATCTTTCTTTGATATGAAATGGGCTCAGAGAGACTAAAGGAGTTGTGTAAGATCCCACTCTGAGGAAGTAGATAAATACTGAATTTTTCCCTCTTCAACTGCTTCCTACTATCTAGTTAACACAAAGAAAGAATGTAGTTTTATTGGTTGAGGGTTCTTTTTCCCCAAAGTTCTTAAAACTGTGGTCAGACATTTGCTTTGTGAACCTATAAAACTTAAGGACATTAATTTCCTTCCCTACCTTGGGATAAGAGCCCAAGGGTTCTTCTTTTCCTCAACACTGTTGAAAAGGCAAAGCCCAGCAGTCCTCCCTCCTTCAGCCTGAAAACCCCAGAGGGCGGGGTCTCGTCCGGCCCGCTCCCCGGGAGCCCGGCCGAGCTCAGCACGCCGACTGGACCGGAGTTTCCGGAATGGTCCTCTCGGGGTCTCCCTTCTCCAAAGCAATCGGTAAACTCCGCCACTCAGATTCAGGCGGCAACTAAGCACAAGGCGGGGAAGGGGCTCGGACCGGCACTGGGACAGTCACGCACACCACCTCTGCAGCCCGGTGAGCCCTACCTCCGCTCACCACCACCTGGGCCCTCGAACCTGGGGAATGTCCGGTGTCGCAAGTCCGGGCTGGTGGCAGGGGATGGAACCCTGGCGCGGCTGAGGGCTGGATTTGCGGCAGGCTGCCCAACGGGCTTGCTGCACCAGCTCGGGGACTCGGGGGGTCCACCGGGGAATGGGGAGGAGGCTGTCGGGGCCGCGCCGGCTCTCACCTGAGATCCTCTGAGGCTCTGGACCGACCACACGGGACCTAGGAGATGCTTGGGGTGTGTACTCGCTGCTCCCGTTCGACTACACTTTGTATGGGGGCGGGCCTGAAGTCACCTGACCGAGCCACCTGATTTGCGGAGTCAACATTTCCATGTGATGCACTCTGGGAACTGTAGTTTTGACGAGTCTTAGCAGGGTTGGGGCGGAGTGGAGGGACGCAGGCACCTTGGCAGGGATGGGAGCTCCGTGTGAGGGAGTATTAAGCCACTTTTAGGGACGCAGAGGCTCTCGGAGTCCCGAGCACCTGTCAGCAAACCCCGCACTACATTTGAAAGCCAGATAGAGGCTGCCCTGGCGAGGCAGTCGCCGCCACTGACGTGGGCCCCAGCCCGACAGGGTGGTGCCTTCTAGGTCCCGCCTTCCTTCGCCTCTCCGCCTATAGCCGGGCCCGCTGCGAGGCGTGCGCGGGGCTCCGCCTTCCTCGACCAATGGGAAGACGAACAGCCTGCACTTTGAGCGTGGCCGAAGGCGCGGCAAGAGGGGCCCCGCCTCGGCGCCTCGGTCGCTGGTGCAGTGTGCAGACGAGACCTCCGCTCTGGTCCCCACAGCCATGGCTGCACCGTTGGTCACTCTCGGCATCGACCTAGGCACCACGTCTGTGAAGGCGGCCGTGGTGGAGGCCGCTCCCGGCGACCCATCGGGGTTTGTGGTACTGGCCAGCTGTGTCCGGGCCGCGCGGGCCGAGGCGGCGGCCCAGAGCTCGGCGGCCGGGCCCCAGGTGAGGCAGTGCCCTGGAGCCGCGCCGCCTCCAGGAGCCTCTTGACAACCCTCTCCCTCCCCAAGGAGGCCGCCCCAACACCCCTCTTCCTCAGAGAAGTTTCCCTGACTGCGCCAGCCTGCCTGACCGCCACCTGCCTGCTGCAGGTCCGTTCGGGGCTGCCCCAGGAGCCTTCCCACCTGCTGGCACCGGTCTCTCCACTCTCCGGCCTCCTCTCGGGGCCTCGCCCATAGTGCTTATCCCGTGCTCTCTGCCCTCCCCTTTCTGTACCCCGACCCGCGGGGAATCCTGTTCTTGTGCAGTTCTCCTCGAACCTGCCCGTGGCCTCAAGCTCGGTTCTGTTTATTTCCCAGGGCAGAGTCTGGATTTTCCTCTGGAAATCAGATTCAGAATGTGGACTGAACAACGCAAACATTTGCTCAGCAAAAGCCACTGCCCCACCCTCCCAAGTCCCCAAAGGCTAAGACACTTTGGAGGAAAACCAGATAGGACAGATAGACCACGGAGGAAAGACAGACAGATAAAAAGACATTGAGAGAGCCCTGGCCGGTTTGGCTCAGCGGTTAGAGCGTCGGCCTGCGGTCCGGAGAGACCCGGGTTCGGTTCCCGCTAAGGGCCTGTACCTCGGTTGCAGTTTGTCCCCGGCCCTGGTTGGTCGTGCGGGTGGCAGCCACTCGATGTGTCCCTTTCACGTCGATGTTTCTCTCTCTCCCTTCCTCTCCCTCCCGCTCTATCTGTACAAAAAATGGAAAAATATCCTCAGGTGAGGATAAAAAAAAAAAAATTAAAAAAATAAAAGACATTGAGAGGTCATTAGAAAAAGATCAGATTGATAACTACACACTACCACAGTGTATCTTGTGAAATTTGGTAATAATACCCTACAACTAGTGTCTTGTGAAAGCTGCAAGACAGAAATGGAGAGTTTTACCACAGTGGGCTCGGTTGTGAGATGTGGGTTCAGAAAGCACGTCAGTCCTCAGAGCTGGAGTCCATTAATTCCCTGCAAAAAGGTAGCTCTATGTTTAGTTAATGAACGATAGAAATTAATATCGAGGAACTTTGAGTAACCTTTTTTCTGGATCTGAGCTTGTTCTCAGAGTTGAAATAGGTGGCCGGTGGCCCCATCTAGCCACAAACCTCCATTTTCTGAGCCAAACACCACTCCCAGAGCTTTGTTTTTCCCGAGCTCTTGCCACATATCTGGACTCGGTTCTTTAGGGTTCAGAGTCCGTCTTGCTCAGAAGCATTTCAGATTAAGAAGTTTTTAGGAACACTTTGCATTTTCATAGAGGCTTTCAAAATTAGTTTCGTTGGGGGCATCAGGGCATTTTAGAATGATTGTTTCACTTCATGACTGACTCTGGGAGTGAGCAGCAGAGCTAAGATGACAGGGAGTGGGCATAGGCCACTTCTCTCTTGAAATAGCCACTTCTTGGACATTACTTTCTCCGCTTCCCCCAGGGTTCAGCAGGCTCCTCTGTTTACAGGCACACCCAGTGCACCACACATGCCTAATGATGGGTTTAGGGGAGGCCAGTGATAGCCCCCCTTGCAAACCACACAGGTGTGTTGTGCTCTGAGACAAACAGCATTCCTATAATTTCATATACTGCAGGATTTCTCAACCTTGGCACTGTTAATTTTTTTTTTTTTAATTTCTTTATTTTAAGAGAGGAAGAGAAGAGAGAGAGAGATAGAAACAGTGATGAAAGAAAACATCAGTTGTTCTCTGGGGATTTGACCCACAACCTGGGCATGTGCCCTGATTGGGAATTGAATCGGCGACCTCTTGGTACATGGGTCCATGCTCAACCACTGAACCACACCGGCCAGGCGGCACTGTTGATTTTTTTGAGTTGGATGATTCTTTGTTATGGGGAGCTGTCCTGTGACTTGTAGGATGTTTAGCATCATCCCTGGCCTCTATGTGCCAGTAGAACCTTCCTCCTCAGTTATGACACCCCCAAACTATTTCCATATTGCCAAATGTCCCCTAGGGGACAGAAATCACTGGGGTGAGAACCACTGATCTATAGAAATAGCTGATGGCTCTGTTCTTTCCTCATGACCATACTTCTCAGTCTTTAGAAGTATTGTGTACACCATGGTCAACCTCTGTGGAACGTCAGGCTTTTAGGTATTTGCAACTAGGGTTTTTGAGGGAAGCTCTCTGACCCTTTCTGAGTTATTAATTTTTCCTCTCAGGGCCTCAGTTTCCTCTCATCTGTTAAAAGGGAGTTTGACTGAGTTTGTAAAGTATTTTTTCAAATCTGAAGTTCTAGGGTTTGATCTGGATATAGACCAATTGATAATTTGAACCGAAGAATGGGGGCAGCACCTTCCCTGTGACATTGTGGGTATACCCCTTGTCTGTCCCACATCACACCACTAGTACTTGGGCTAAGTGCTGAATACTGATTGTCTCCTTGTCTTCATTGCCATCTGACCTATTTTCCTCCTCCATTAACCCCACCCACACAACTCACCCACCCTGTGCCCATTTTAAACAGCAGCTCCTCTGTTCTGGGTTGATGCACCATCTGATTGCCATGTGCAAACTCTTTTTTTTTTTTTTTTTATCCTCACCCGAGGACATTTTTCCATTTTTTGTTCAGGTAGAGTGGGAGGGAGAGAGAGGAACAGAGAGAGAGAGAGAGAAACATCGATGTGAAAGGAACACATCGAGTGGTTGCCACCCGCACAACCGACCAGGGCCGGGGACAAACTGCAACCGAGGTACATGCCCTTAGCGGGAACCGAACCCGGGTGTCTCAGGACCGCAGGCCGACGCTCTGACCGCTGAGCCAAACCGGCCAGGGCGCCATGTGCAAACTCTTTAAACCGGTACTGTCCAATAGAAATTTGAGCCACAAATGTGAGCCACATTTGTGTTTTCAATTTTCTAGGGCTCATATTTTAAAAAATTAAAAAATAATAGGTAAAATGAATTCTTTTAAATTGAATTCATTGGGTGACATTAGTTAATAAAATGATATAGGTTTCAGGTGTACAAGTCTATAATACATCATCTGTATATTGTACTGTGTGTTCACAACTCCAAGTCAAGTCTCCTTCCATCATCGCTTATCCCCTCTTTACCCTCTTCTACCACCCCCACCCCCTGAAGTGAATTCTAATTGCATGTTTTATTTAACCCAGTGTTCCCAACATAGTATCATTCCAAAATATAATAATTCATGTAAAATTATTAATGACATTGTACACTTCTTTCCATACTAAATCTGAAATCTGGTCTGTATTTTACATTGACAGCACATTTCAATTCAGGTTAGCCACATGTGGCTAATGCCTGCCATGTTGGACAGTGCAGGTCTGAACAAATGTCTTTCCTGCTTCCTTCTTCCTTCCCCTGCTGTCTTCGTCCTTCCCTGCTTGGGGGATCCTGCACAGCCATGCGCCTCCTCTTCGCCTGTCTTTCACTGCCAAGTCAGTTCTGCTGTAGTCTCTCCTATATATCAAGGATCTTGTTAGGATCTGGGGTTGCATCCTCAGGAAAATGCTAAGTGCTCCTTTTCTGCTCTTTCTTCCCCTCTTCACCTTTCTTTCTTCTCCTTTGTTCATGCTTATTAGAATCCAGAAGGCTGACGGGACTAGTGAGGGGTTTGTTCCAAGGAGGGGAGGGCTGTACTCCCCACTGGAGGGAAGCAAGGGGCCTGAGGGCTCAGTCTTCAGATGCTTTACTGAGACCATAAGCTTTTTCAGTTCCCCCATGAACAGAGTAAATTTCTTTTTTTTAAAAAAATCCTCACCTGAGGATATTTTTCCATTTATCTTCAGATAAAGAGGGAGGGAGTGAGGGAGGAACACAGAGAGAGAGAGAGAGAGAGAGAGAGAGAGAGACATCCATGTGAGAGAGACACATCCACTGGTTCCTCTCATATGACCCTGATAAGGGCCTGGGACAAACCACAACCGAGGTACGTGCCCTTGACCAGAATCGAACCTGAGACTCATTGGTCTGGGGGCCAGTGCTCTAACTGCAGAGCCAAACTGGCCAGGGTGAGGTTAAAATTTTTTTTTTTTATTAATCAATTAATTTTTGTTACAGATGTTTCTCCTTTTTCCCCCATTGATCCCCCCTCCCTCTCCCTCCCCGCCTTGTCCCCAGCTTTGTTGTCCATGTCCATTGTTCATGCACACATGCATATAAGTTCTGTGGTTTATCTCTCTCCCTCCACCCCCTCTTCTGGGAATTGTCAATCTGTACCCCACTTCCACGTCTCTGGGACTACCCCATTCCTCAGACTGTTCATTATATTCCACAAATAAGTGAGATCATATGATACTTGTCTTTCTCTGTTTGGCTTGTTTTACTTAGGATAATACTTTCTAGGTCCCTCCATGTAGTCTCAAAGGATAAAAGATCTTTCTTTCTTACAGTTGCATAGTACTTCATTGTGTATATGTACCACTGCTTTTTTATCCATTCATCTACTGATGGACATTTGGGCTGTTTCCAGATCTTAGCTATTGTAAATAGTGCTGCTATGAACATGGGGGTACATATATTCTTTTTGATTGGTGTTTCAGTCTTCTTAGGGTATATTCCTAGAATTGGGATCACTAGGTCAAATGGAAGTTCAATTTTTACTTTTTTGAGGTAACACCATATTGTTTTCCATAGTGGCTGCACCAGTCTGCATTCCCACCAGGTGTGTACTAGAGCCCCCTTTTCTCCACACCCTCGCCAACACTTGTTTGATGATTTGTTGATGGCGACCATTCTGACAGGTGTGAGGTGATATCTCATTGTTGTTTTAATTTGCATCTCTCTGATGATTAGTGATGTTGAGCATTTCTTCATGTCTCTCAGCCATTTGTATGTCCTGTTTGGAGAGGTGTCTATTTGGTTCCTCTGCCCATTTTTTAATTGAGTTCTTTGTTTTCCTTTTGTTAAGTTGCATGAACACTCTCTAAATATTGGAAATTAACCCTTTATCTGATATATCTTTGGCAATTATGCTCTCCCATACAGT